AGAGAGAGAGAGATATATATATATATATATATATATATATATATATATATATATATATATATATAATAGCAATGACGCAAATAACAGCATTAAATTTCCAGTTAGATGACGCTATAGCAGTAATTCTATGACGGTTGCATGAAGCACCTAGCTCTTTTCATAAAATGCAGAATCACGCCAAGCACCTACAACATGTACAAGCCAACGTATTCCACCGTTCCAGCGCGCATGCCAGCCTGTCTTGGCAGCGTGGGCAGGCACGCACACAGTCCATGGGCGGGCGGCGCAGCCGTGCTGGCCGCTGGGCACTCACCCCCAGCCGAACAGAAGACTGGCCGTGGAGAGGCGGCGCACCACGCCCACCGTGTACCGACTGACCAGCGTCAGCGTCACGGCCAGCAGCGCCGCCCACACCCGGCCGGCGAACTGGCCCAGCGTGAACATCACGTACTTGAGGTACAACTGCCACGGCACGGCGTCGTCCAGCGAGTACCAGAACAGCGCGCCGATGGCTGCCAGCAGCTGCCGGGACGATGTGGAGGTTAGCGGGGGCAGGGGCGCGGCCGACACGGACTCACCGGACCCAGGTCGGGGGAAGGGGTCTGCAGGACGCCGGATGGGGAGGGGGGCAGGGGCGCGGCCGACACGGACTCACCGGACCCAGGTCGGGGGAAGGGGTCTGCAGGACGCCGGATGGGGGGGGGGGGCGGGCAGGGTCCCGCCGGACCGCGGATCGGGGGGCAGGGGTCCCGAGACCCACCAGATTGGAGGACAGCGGTCCGCGGGCACAGATCGGGGGAAGGCAATCTACAGGGCTCCATATCGGAAGCCAAGGCCCACGGGATCCAGATCGTGAGACAGAAGCCTGCAGGACCCAGGCTGGCAGTTAGTGGCCTGCAGATCCTGGCTGGTAGGCGCCGGGTTCGAATCCAGGTTGTGCCGTGGCTCCTGAGCGGTAGCATGGCCCCTGCAGTCGGTGGGGTCCATAAAAGGGATAAATCAATAGGCGTGAAATCTCTGCTTTTTGGACGTTCTCGTGTGACAGGAAGCCCGGGAACATCGAGGCTGCAAGCAGATATGGGTCCAAACTATTTCTTTTCAAGATTGGTATTTGGATCCTAAATTGTTCAGTTCAGCCTTTGCTGAAACTTTTATGCGAAGCCATAGTCCGAGTCATGGTATTCTAGAATATTTGTGTCGACCTGAGGGAGCGAATTTTAGTGTCCTAGGTGTCCATAAAGTCCAGAGTCCATAAAGTTTAGAGTCCGGTCAATTCCAGCTGGGCGCAGCCTGTGTCTGGCTGGTTCTTCAGTAAATGGGTATCCCCATTATCTAGAAATCAGGCACTGCACACGAGCTATTGCCAAAGACAATTACTTGCCGGTGCGGAATAATGCTCGATTACAGCGGAATCCGATCCGGTTCCGCATTGGATTCAGTTTTGAATGGATCAGGACCAGATCCGACTCTGGTGGGTACTCGGCTACGTCGTATTGGGGACAGATCAGTAGGGTTTGGGACATAATTGGAAAATACGCTCTCTGGCTTGGAAATTATCCGATTTACGGAATGCTTCAGATGTTATCCACTACCAAGTCATTTCAGCATTTAATCAAAACATCATAATGAACGAACTGCGTGTGCTTGCGGTAGCACTTAAGGAAATGTTTTGAAACACCTGATTCGGTTATAAATATATCGCAATCAGTTCGTCAATCCAGTGGTGTAACTGTAGGAACGATATCACCAACATCGGCGTTGTCACTGCACTTTGGATTCTTAGGCAATTGCTTATTTTGCGTACTCACCATCAGTTGCAAATAATTGCAAAGGTATGCTAAAAGTTCAAGTATATTTGTGTTTGCCGATAGCATAGAACTGATCTATTTTCCTCAGAAGAGATGTGAAATCGGACCCAGTTTCAGAATCGCGTTCATAAAGTCTGCACCGGAATTGAATTAATATTTATTAGATTCGAAAACGATTCAATCCTAATCTCAAGGCGCTCAGGTCTGCAAAGGTCTGGAAACTTTTTTTAAAAAACAAGTGAGGAAGCCTCAGTACTTGACTCAATGGGCCGAAAAATTTTGCGCTTCAGCGGCACAGCACAGCGTTTTGGGAGGGAAAGCGGCACAAGATCGAGGGCAAACCACATTTCGTGCAACACCAAGGAGGATCTAGAGATGATTTAAGGAAAACACAGACAAGAGTACTGCATGAGTCCGTTTGACCTTGAAAATGCTACTGGCCTTTCCAAAATGACCTGTTCTCATGGGGACTATACACCGAGACATTAATCACAGCAACGAACTTGTCTGTAGAGAAGAGCCTATGGGCAATGAGCCGGATGCAGTGAGTGGACTTGGGTGCCTAACACAGATGCCCACTAGTGAATATCCATAACAAGCTCGTAAAATTTACTTGGGTAACATTTTAAAGAGCCTGCTTGTCCCGAAATGCTTCGCTATCATAGTTATCTTTTGATCGAAGCCAAACAGTCGAGTCAGACAATTGCTGCACAAATATGTAACCAAATACGAAGCGAATAACTAAGGTAGCACGAGCAAAACCATGAAAAACAGTCAAGTGTATATTCAATGGACTTGAGGTTCACTTGTTGGAGAAGACGGAGCAGAAGGCATTTAAAATTGATTTAGCTTCGGTCTTGCGCTGTTTGAAACTGGAACGCAGGCCATGCGCAAATTGACCTCATTGCGTCGTTCCACCAGGCGACCGTAGGAACAGCAGCCATGCGTGGAACCTGCCCAGGCTAAAGATCCGGATTCCGCTACACAGCCACACGGCCTCAGCGATAAAGTTTAACGGGCAGCAAAGATCGCAAGCCAGACCTCCATCGCTGCCTTTCGTGTTGTGATTATTAGCCTTCGCCGCATGAACAGACCGTAAGCTGCCCCGTGCCACGTAATTGTGTGCTGCACGCTCCCTCCTCACGAAACGTCTGGCCTAAAACGCTTGCCGATACCTGACAGAATTTCCCACGCCGCCAACACTGCCTTGGCGAAGTACATTGTACAGACATCACTGTTAAGCTGCGATGCAACACGCGCAGCGTTCCAACACGTTGTAAACAGCATGCGAACTCGTCATATGTTGCCGACGGCTGTCATAGAATGGTATACGCGGAGCGCTGCTGGCGTATATATAGTATGATATAGAGCATACACGTCATATGCATTGTCACTAAAAATACGCGCATGCGTATTACAACGTTGAACTGTGGCATTACTGTGGCACATGTTGACAGCGAATCTAAGGAGCCGCCACCACGAAAGAGACATAATATTTTGGACAACTGGAGGAGATGGTAATGGGCGGTCAAATGCATTCACCATGTCCTTTACCTGGGGCCCACCCAAGCCAGAAACACGTAATTGGTATTTTCATTATTGTTTGACATCGACTGACACTTCACATAAGTATGTGGCTATTACGTGTCCTTTGTCAGAGACGTAAAGCAGTAAATAAATAAGAACGAAGAGTAATAAGGGATAATATATATATACACACATGCATGCAAAAACAACTATAAGACAACCTTTTTCTAAAAAAGCATGGCTTCGCACTCCTCTCACGCCTGTCATGAATGACACGATGTGGGGCTCACGCAAGCCAGCGACACGGGATATGGTACAGTTACATGGGACCCACCTGAGCCAGCAGTACGTGGTCTGGCGCAGCAGGCGGGACCCACCTGAGCCAGCAGCAGGTGGATCGTGGTCTGGTACAGCAGCCGGGACCCACCTGGGCTAGCAGCAGGTGGATCGCGGACTGGTACAGCAGCCGGGACCCACCTGGGCCAGCAGCAGGTGGATCGCGGACTGGTACAGCAGCCGGGACCCACCTGGGCCAGCAACAGGTGGATCGTTGTCTGGTAGGGCAGCCGGGACCCACCTGAGCCAGCAGCAGGTGGATCGTGGTCTGGTACAGCAGCCGGGACCCACCTGAGCCAGCAGTACGTGGTCTGGTACAGCAGCCGGGACCCACCTGGGCCAGCAGCAGGTGGATCGTGGTCTGGTAGGGCACGCGCTGGTGTTTGCGCGTCACGAGCAGCACGGCGATGACGCAGGCGAGCGTGGCGGCGCCGACGGACGTGGTGTAGAGCACAAAGTGGCGCAGCGACGACACGTACTCAGTCACGTTTACCACGCCAATCGACGCCATGCGAGCCGAGAGCAGCATGAACGGCGTGGCCAGGAAGGTGCAGGCCACTAGGGCACTGGACAGCTGCCGGCAGGACAGGCCCTCAATCCAGCGGCCACAGTGGAGGAAGGAGCAGGCCACCAGGGCGCTAGGCAGCTGCCGGCGGGGCCAGGCCCTCAGTCTAGTGGTCACAGTGGAGTAAGGCTCGGTCCAGCCCTCACGCTTGACAGACCACGCATATTTACGATCACAGACCACAACACTATGCAGGTTTGAGTAGCACGAGCTGCATTATTTTAAAAGGCGCGCTTTATAATACTCAGAAATGTGTGTGCGTACTTTGTGATCAGAGCTGATTTCACTGCAGCATTGCACATCGGCGTGGGTTTCTCCCATTAATAAACTCTCATTTCGCGGGAGGGCCTCAGGGGCCCGTAATGTATTTCCACATCATATCGATTCTGAACGGTTTCAATCGCGGTGATGAAATTTTATGCAGTTGAGTTGACATTATTTTTACATATGTTAAGAAGATGGTGAAAGTGTTGACGTTGGTGGCTAATGATCTTTGACCTTTTTTCTGAGTTCATGTCGGTGAAGTTTTCTCAAAAGTGATTAATAGCTCTGGCACTAATTAATGACTAATAAATGAGTGATTGATGTCCAGGGTTCGTATCCTTGTTTTCAGGATTCGAATGTTTGTAAGATTTGAATCCATTTGAGTCGTGCCAGTCCAATTTGTCAGCTCAAGCGCGAGCGCTGTATCGATAAAACGTTGCCTGCATAGCTCTCATGAAATACGAACTCAAATGCATTGGTGGGATATCTTGGTATCGGTTCCTCCACGCGTCTGGATGTGTTAGTCCCGGTTTGTTGTCATCTACAAGATGGCAATGACTAGTTCTCACAGCTGTTATCATGCTATTGTCTCACGCCGCCCAAAGTGTCTTGTTGGCATCCCCTGCCTTGCACTCAAATATCGCGACAGTTATATTGCATTGCATGGCGGGACCGGTCAGTGTAGGAGACAAAACACGTGACTCCGAGGGACCCATAACGCAAGTTGTGTCTGGCATCTGACCAATTATTGAACGGCTGATGTGGTGCGTGTACACTTGTAAACTTGTAGCGCATGGTGAATAATGCAAACACCTTTTCATGGCAGGGGCTTCATAAGCCGTCTGTAGTAGTGCACGACATGCAATGCATTTTCCAATTCCCATCCAACAATTTCATGCTTCTGCGTTGTCCTTGGCGGCATTTCTCGTCCGATTACCGCCGGTTTGTCTTTGCCCGCGGTATGGACACAGCGTCACTAGCCACCACTTGAATGCGGCATGCGACGCAAATGGCCCAGCGTGCCGAGATGGACCGACAACAGCTGAGGGGGGGGGGAGGGGGAGGGGAGGGAGGGCATGACTGGGACCCGTCGCGCTAGGCAGACAGGCACGAGCTGCTGTGCGGCTCATTATGTAACCGTTGCGGTTCGGCAACAGGAGAGCGCGTAAATTGGCTCGGTTCATAGAACTGCTGTTTTGTTGAGGTGAAAGGAAGTGATGGTTATATTTGGGTGGCGGCGTGAAATTGGAAAGCTTATGTGAGGTGTGCCTTACAATCACGCTGAGGCTATGCATCACCCACTCATAATGCAGATTAGGCCTTAAATGGCTTAGATATTCCGCATATATATATATATATATATATATATATATATATATATATATATCGCCATCATACAACAGCAATCCGCGGGCAACAACAGTATATGAGATTCTTTAAGCAAGACGTACGCACGGTTTTAAGCGAAGCTACATCAGGATAAGAACATGGAAAGTGTAGCACAAACCAAATCGTGGATTTTACTGCAGCAGTTACCGCCTCTCATACCTGGCGGTTACCGTTTTCATATCGGGGGGCAGTGGGTGTGAATCACTTTGACGCGGCATTTGCCCCAGCTGCGCCGCTTTCGGTGGTAGCGGCGCGGCACCGTACGGCGGGCGAGTCCACGACGCCGCCGCCGTCCTCACCATGTCGACGTCGATGTTGTAGAGTGTGGCGAACACGAACACGCCGGGTGCGGTGGGGAATGTGCCCAGCAGGAAGCCGAACTCCTGGAAGTCGCGGATGTGCTCGCCGGCGGGCGGAAAGTGCACCAGCAGGCCGCGGATTATGAGCGGCAGCAGGAAGCTGCGGACATGCGTTCGTTTCAGGGTCAGCCACTCTTCCGCCACGCATGCCAGACAGGCTGCGGATGAGGAAGTGGTGAGCATGCAACCTGTTCTGCATTAAAAGGCTTCTAGAACCTTGGTGATTTACTTGGAAAAAGCGGTGACGTCAATGCAATGTCAATACAAGTTTCCGCTCTCTAAAATCAACACCGAAGCTACGTTTGCCGTGAGAAGAATAAATGATTTGAGCCACACAGAAGCTGCCAGTGAGACAAGTTCATAATATCGTCGTAACCAAGAGACATCTACGTTGGTTAGCACGCGCCCGGGTGGCCGACTAGATACCGTTCGCTCTGGTGGGGAAGGGGTCAATTTGATCCCCCTGAGATCTCGGGAACTAAGGGAGCTAGAGACACCAAATTTACAGGATGTATTGACCTGTACGTGAACTCATTCAGGTGGAAGTTTCAAGTTTCTAGGTAATGACCTTCGGGTCAAAAAAGTTCAAACAAGGTCAAGTTCCAGGTTGGTCTCCAAAGTACCTCCAGAACGTAGATAACCGTTTCTAAGCAAAAGGTCACATTCTTATATAAGGTCAGTGACCTTTTTGACCTTTTGAAGGTCAAGGTGACCAAAGTAATACAAGATTGCTTTGAGTTTTGCATTTGACTAAACGACACAGATTATACTAGGCAGTATGTTCCTAAAACAAAATGTTAACCTAGGTCACATTAGGTCAATGACCTATTCTGACCCGTAAGAAGTCCATGGAAGATGAATAATGCGGTTCCTGCCATCAATAAACTCGAAATGAGCACTAGAAACTGTCCCATACAGCAAACCCTAGAGTGATAAAACAGGTTGGTTTTGACCTTAGTGTGACATTCATACCTAACCTTAGGTAAATGTAATTTACTCATTCCACTGTTGTGTTGCCCAAGAAAGCATCTCAGAGATGTATGGCTTCCTCTGACACTCTGTTGTTGGATCAGATTGAATGATTCCCTAGAAACTGCCTGCCCTGAAACCAAGGTCTCAATTTTACCTGCCATATGTCAGCGACCTTACAAGGTACATTTAAATTTGGGATGCTAAACAAACCGCTATCCAATTCCCTACAGTATGCAAATTTTGACGTGGCTACGCCGCACCGTTCGGACACCATTTTGGAAAAACCTTCGGGAGGTCAATTTGATCCCCCCACCCGAGCGCGGATTAACCATAGGCATTGGATTATGTTTCCAGGATCCAACCTTCACGCGTCTCATTGGTGACGCATTTTCTGGGTCTGAGAAACGTTATCGCGATCTTGACTTGACTCGCGACTTGAGATACACTCGTCACCAGATATACAGTCATGCTTACCATTTGATGGAGATAAGGAGCACGGGCACTAGCATGGCTGACCCGCGCATGGATTTGACCTTGCCCACCATCTGAATACCGAGCATGAACAGCGCCGATGCCGAGAACGCTTGTCCGAGCACCTGAAACGCAGCGGCGCAACCTTCAGTCTCATCAGAGAACCGCGGAAAGACACACTTTTACAAATGAGGCTAATGACACGAATCCGGTACGCGATAACAGTGGCCTTGACAAAGTGTCAGACCTGTTCGCGCCAATCGCTCGGAATACTCGTAACACCTGGCGACATACGGGTTACCCAAGCGTGACGAACGCCCCTCGCGTCTCGGAAACGTGGGGAGACGCAAGGACGCGATCCGAGAATAGACGGACAACTCTCGCGGCCGCGGCGGCCACGCACCCTCAGAATGCCCTCCAGAATATTGGGCAGGCACTGTTGGAACACGCCGTTGGCGACGATGCCCAGGAACGTCATGAACACGACCGGGTTGGTGCCGATCCCGGTGAGCACGCGGTGACCGGTGGACCACCAGGGCGCAGAGGCCTTGGAGGCCGACCTCGTTCGCTGCAGCTCCATCAGCACGAATGCCACCGGGTTCAGCATCATCAGCGAGGACGGCGCCGCCAGGTACAGGTAGCTGGCGAAGTCCGGGTGCGTCTTGGCGTATAGCGCCTGCACTGTCGGGCCAGTCGCGGGACAGATCAGCGGCGCCCCAGAACCCCAGCGATGCTTGTCATCAGGTGCACGTGATTCGTACATGTAGTAACAATGTAGATGTTCATCCGGACGCCGCAATCGGAGACATGAAACTGTCCGACAGTTCGTCGTTACGGAGATCATCTCGGGACCATGTCGTCTTGCTTCAAACGTGTATGAGCGGATCGGGACCGACGTACGACGAGAACGGTTCAACCAGAGCAGCCGACGAAAACAAAATCAAAGTTATTGCCACGCCTCAATGGCAATGTTGCGAGAAATTCTCACCTAGAGGGTAGCCCAGCGCAAAATCGTTGGACTGCGTGGCGAAAATGCCATAGAGTCCAGCCCGTCCCAAGTTGGTGGGATAGGAAGCAGCAGCTGTCACGACGACGACAATGACAAACACCAGCGCCTTGGCACCGTAGACGATCATGAGAAAGCCCCAGTTCACACTCCTGAAAGTCAGACAAACGTGTCAGGTTATCTTTGCACCGCTTTGGTGATGCTGGATAGGCCAGGGCGATGCGAGACAGAAATGAAACGCCAAATCGTTTCATAAACTTATCTCGCCAACATCAGTTTGAAAATGCCAATATTACTTTATGTCATCTACGTATAACTTAACTGTTTGCCCTGACCTGATCGCAATATATACCTGAAAATGAGCATGCGTTACGATAAACGATATTGAACATCTGCACCATATGGATGGTTATCTCAACCAACGTGCGTTGCCCAGCTTACGTCCAAGAGCTTATAGCGTAGGACCTACTGAGCCCACGCTTTCTCACGGCTCTCCACGATCCCCACATCCGATCGTTGTCTGGCGTGATATCGATGCCTGAAAGAACGGCCCGAGCAATAAGCCCTGTCATTTGTGCGTTGTGTGTGTAGTTAAAGATAGCAAATTTTAATGGCGTAGGTCGTAGATAATGTTATTTTATGACGGCCTTCCTGCGTTTTTACATTCCAAATCATGTCAGTCGAATGATTAATGGTGGTTTAATTGGTCCAAATTAAGATGAATAGCCTGTCATTGACAGTTACAGGTATCGTGCTCATTACCTGCCTACGCGTCACGCATAGTGACACGAAAAGTCACGGCATCTACAGTTGGCGGCGGTCTCTTAAGTGCCGTGGGCCGGTCGTATCACTTGGGAGACATATAAAGTACATAAGTAAAATTTCTGCGTCAACGGTTTGCTATGGCTTTAATCCACGTGCACCTTGAGGCAACAAGATGTTAGCAATATAGCTGTACGGCATGTAGTATAGCGATGAAAGGGTTGCGGCTTATATGACAGAATGGTGAGCTTTATAACTTAGCTGCAAATAGTGAACTTTCGTGTTACTGAGAATATTTCGCGCCTGGATCGTAATTGGCATGGCAGGCCGTCGTGCTTGAGTGGCTTTCCACGACACGTCATTCCAAGGCTGCTACGCAACCTTGGACTAAGGAAGACACACAAGCAAGTTTAAAATGTGACCGGTTCGCTTCAGCCCAAGCCGTAATGAACAGCGTACGCCAGCTGCCAGTTCGGCGAATCCCTGTAGACTTCCCTGTTGTGGCGGTTTCCGTGGCCTATTTTTCCACCGCGGCCTTCAAGCGACCAAACCCTGTCCGTGACCGTGCGGTGGTAATGAGTGCGTCAGTCAGACACCGGTGCTGCGGGCTCAGGTGCCCCGGGCGCCGCCAGGAGCTGCGGGCCGACGCGCCGGCACCGCTGCGCTTGTGGTCAACGCCCGCCCACCCACTGGGGCAAGGTCAGCCTGGAGCTGAGCCGGGCGCGCCTTATCTCGCCAGCCCGCGCACGATTCTGGGTCAGCGCTGGCTGTAGTCGGAATGGTGTCGGCTGCGGTTGCGGTGAGCGCCGCACAATGCCACCAATGCCCTTCGGAACGGCGGCGGCAGATCTTTGACCGTCGGAGAGTGCGTCCGCGTATTGCTCTGAAGTAACTGCTAGTGCGACCCGTCAGCATGAGGCTTTTCCACAGGCAGAGCATGGTTCAATAAAACGTAGCCAACAACGCACACTGTTTTGAAACTGAGCGGTGTAGGAGCGCCAGATGGGAAAGAGTCCATCCACCCCAGGTCGCGATACATGAGGTGTTTGTGAATAGCAGATATCGATAGGACTTTGTCGTTTGTGGAAAATGTGCTGATGTGGCGCGATTTCGAAGTGCGTTGGCCCGTAGTTTGGTGTGTGTAAAGCTAGGCCCAGGCTCATCACATCCTTGCAACATAAGCGCTGTATTTTCTCTCCTATCCGCCTCTTGAGCGTCCCTAGTCTAGGCTGCAGTTACCTACTCACGTAGCAGCCTTGACCAACTCTTCCTCCCTTTGCTAACGTGCATCACTCCGTCTTCCCTCTCTTACGGAACTCCTCACGGATCGGATCAATCCAGGGATTAAATAATCGTCAGTGGGGGCTGAGCCGGACTGTGACATGTTTGAAGGACATGTCTCAGTTCAGTTGGGGTCCCGGTCGGTAAAAACTGCAACCAAAAAGCTGGCCATCCCAAACGGTATGCAATGGTGAGAAAACGTAGCAGCTTGGCGCTTTGTAAAAAATTCAAACGTGTAAATAAAACCAATATACAGGGGTATAATTTCGTATTCAGATAGACGAGGTGGGATCCCAGCATTGCATCTTCCCCTCCCCCAAACGTTGCAAGGGAAGTGCATTAAATCCACGGAGAATTGCTCTTTATGTGAAACTAACAGGAGTTTAGTCCTTTTGGCTTGGCTTAGTCCTCCCTCACTGAGATCCTGAAACCACATACTTGCAAATTCAGAAGTCAATTGGGCTTGCCCGAAACGCTGCGGAACAAACGTCGATCTCGAGGAAAACAAACTGGCACAAACACGTATTTGAAAGTACCATGGGTGTTTGGCTTCCATAGGGCTATGGTCCTTGCAATTACTTTGACGGAATTATTGTCAAAATACCAATGCCAATGTGACATAAGCTCCACCACAGGGACGGGGTGAGGGCAGACATCCTCCTCAACTTTTCTGTAAAAGCGGACGGTTCTCGCCGATTTGATGGCAACTGTAGCGTAGCTTGTAATAGGGAGAGTGGTCCGCGCAAGTGATGACAAGATAATTCGCACCGTACGTACGCTTTACCAGGTAAGCTTTTCACAGTTTTCAGTTGAGAGCTGTAATTGAATTGCTTATCACTGAATGACAGTTGCTATCAAACGAAAACGCACTAATGTAGATACTATTTTATAACACATTCGTTTGCCCTTTGAAACTGAAGACAATTTATTCAAATAGTATGCTCTGTGTGCTCTCCACTTCCTTTTCTCATATAATTTTGATCGGCATGCCTCATTGGTACGCTACTGATTTGTGGGCTGGGTTCGCCACAGAGTGGGACAGGAGGCATTAGTTCTCCCCAACTCTCTACAATTGAACCTTTCGCCTTAGGCCCGTTTAAAAATAACATTTCATCATGCTATCAATTGTGCTCATACCCTATCCCTATTCTGGGCGGGGAACGAATTCCATCCCTCGGATTTTTCGCAAGGTTCTGCGTAACAGTTTGCAGCAGGTCGTTAAAATTATGTGAGTTTTTCGAACATGTTTCTAAGTACTGTGCCAAAACTTTGCCTACATGGCATGCACAGGGGTAGCTCCGGGGTCCGGTTACGGGAGGGCCCTCCAGTAAAATTTGGCGATCATGCCAAAATGGTTTTCTCCTGCAAATCATACGTACTGTCCTGTGTTTATGGGACACATTCAACGTTTCCAGTGGATAAGCCAGCTGCATCAAATAAGACAATGGGTCACACTCCAGTCAGGTGTTCCAACTCCCCTTTGGAAAGCTAAAGACACCTATGACACCTGTCAATGTATGATATATGGGCACCACACTTTATTATAGAGCCCACCAGCAATGTGGCTGATGATAGTTACTTCTCAGCCGGCCCTCTTTTAACGCACCTAATACGCACCCGGACTCTGCCTATGTCAAAATGTTGGCTTTTTCATTTGACCATTTTTATTGTCACTTGGTTTTGCAGCTCCTGGATGCGATCATTAATTTTCGGTCTAAAATTTGCCCACGATATATCAATTTCGCAATCAGCATCTTCCAATCTGTGTTACCTGCCTCAAAATTGGTTGATAAATACGCCAACTGTATGGAACCAATAAACACTTTCAGTTTTGTTTGTTCGTCCCTCTGGTGATTCTGTACAAATAATGCCCGAAATTTGTTGCTATCAATGTAGATTTCATCGAGAGAAATCAAACGCCATTTTGGATTGCAAAACCGCCTAGTACTTCCGAGATCTCAAAAGGCGGGTGGGGACCCCTTTGCACTCGCTCGAAATGGGGTAGCGGGGAGCCCGCCAAAAAAGGTAACACCATCAACACGCGTTCAAAATGCAATCCGCCTCGATTCCTGCCACGTGTCATGCTGCCAAACACCAACCACGACTCATAAACCGTAACGTAACAGCTTTCTCAAGAAATATACATCCTCAGCGGTTTTGCGCCGGCATGTCTTCCCTTATATATATATATATATATATATTATATATATATATATATAAGGGAAGATTTATATATATATATATATATAAGGGAAGATTTATATATTTATATACATATATATATATATATATATATATATATATATATTTATTCATTCATATATGTAATATGTATGTCTACATATATCCCTCTCTCCTTCTGTCTGCCTGTCTGTCTGTCTCTCCCTCTCTCCCTCTCTCTTTATCTCTCTTCCAAAAGGCTTGCACATGCCGTTCTGTGCATTAAGTTCATTGAGTTTTGCTTTCACCGGCTTGTTCGGCCAGTGAGGGCCGAAGGACACACGTTTTTGATGCATTCTTCTTAATCAGTCACGGCTTTTTCACGTTCATGCACACTAATGTTCTGTGCGGCATGCCCATCAGCCACTGCTACTTGGTTTTAAAGGCATGTCAGCTGCAATGGTTATGCGCGCCCGTCAGCCGTACTGGGGACTCTGCACCGTATGGTTTCTTCGATATGCTGTTTCCTCTACCACACGATTTGGACCCGATCTGGTGCGTATATCCGTGAAGCATGCTCAGCACCAAACATGCTAGAGCTAAACATGTGTTATGGTAAAATGCAGCTATCTGTCTCAGTAGTTATGGGCACTAGCTGGAGCTAGCCGTCACCAAAGGTGCGCACGAACTGTTGGGGACTGCAGAGCCTTAAACGTGGTTGATGTCTATGGGCTCGACCTTAAGCACTTATCAGAGCAGACTGCTTTGTCATGCAATTTTGAGCGATCGTGTATCTTTTCAGGCATTAAAAAGTTGGTTTGTAATGGGGATTGCTTGAAAAGAAATGTCTAAAAAATTTAATATATTCACCCGAACTTTGTTTTATGGTGGAACCGCTGCAAATGGACCATGGCAGCAGCTCACAACGTACAGGGTTTTTACCCAAAAAGATACGTTGGTAGGTTCAACACACATAAAAGTGTATGTTTCGTTTTGTCAATCAGGCAGTCTTTTTCCTTCTAGCAATTATGTTGTTTACAAGAGGTTGGTACAAGAGAGGTTGGTTGGCAAAGAGGTTGTTTACAAGAGGTATGGTTGTTTACAAGAGGCGAACCCGCTCGAGCGAGATATAGCGAACAGTCAGAAGCTTTGAGCTCGAGTGGCTCGGTTCGGCCAGAACCAGCCTCCTCGCTACCCACTGAAGCTAACTGGTGGTTAATATGATCACGGAGCCTTATGGAACAATGATAAACATCATTTAAGTGTTGTGTTGTTCCGAGGTTTAAATAATGTGATATGCAAACCCACTGCCCGGGCGTGATTTTCCTGAATCATCGCATTGTCCAAACTATGGCCTTTCATGCCTTCACGCAATTTACAGTTCGAATAGCTTTCTACATTTCTGATTAACATCGCAAAGGCAAAATTCGCACGTTGCCAAAAAGCTGCGCGACACGGGTCAAAGATCAGGCTCAGCTGCCGCCGATTCGGCGCGGTGGCGGTGCAAGACCAACACCGTTGGAACGGGGGGGGGGGGGGGAGGGAATGACAGACGTGCCGGCGGAAGTACCGACACATGTATGCAACTGGTTAAGTGCTCGAACATAAACCATGGATCAAGCCATTTTGGACGTTTTTGGCTGTGTCAGATCTCGGCGGCGAAGCCAGACAAAAGCGAAAAAGACTGCAGGGATGTGAAGACGTCTGTACCGTCTGCGAAACCAGAACGGGACCTCAACACAGATCAATCTATATGCGCGCCTGCAGCTGTCTGGGAAGCGGCTGAAGCCACGTTTTCCGAAGCGCGCCTCTCACGGCTTAATCACTGCCCAAGCTGACGCCCCATGAGCGAACGGCGCATAAATTTCCTGCTGTCACGCAGGCAACATTCGTCGTGGTCGATGAGGTCCTCGATTTTGTTTGCAGCACGGTTTCCATTACATAAGACGAATCGCATTTCCGGGACGCATGTGTGGAGCTGGCTGGTATAGGAGGGGGGGGGGATGGGGGCGTCTAGGCCACGGCACCACCAGACCATGGCCGCCATGCCTTCATAGCTGAGCTCCTGGCCTTCCGACCTCCCGCCGGTCCAGTTTTTATTTGACGTCGGTAAACTGCCGGGCACTTTGGAGGCGCGTGAAGGCCTTGAGAACATCTGGCCTGGCTTCCACCGCAGTTGGCCCGATATGTTGGACGAGCGGTAAGTGGACCCTAGCTGAGACACTAAACACCCGTCGATGACGAGCCATTCGCAGACGCAGCCCCCTGTCGCGTCGCGTCCCCTGGAGTCAGCTGCACTTCCGTGCGCGGACACAGCTCAAACGACGGTGTGATCTCCGGACCGCTGCGCTTATGGATAACATGGTTTGGTATCGTGTTCACCAAACATGACGAAATACTGTATACAAAATGCGTGGATAATGTAGGCTAATTGACGTGAGGGACATAGGCTCCTGCCCCCAGGCAGCCGCAGCTCAGCAACAAGCGAACCTCCTATCTTGTGAAGCGAAGTCGGTCTGGTGACAGACGGGCGCACTTACTTGAAGTTCAGGTTTGCCATTGACAAGAATATGAGAGCCGGCAGGACGAAGTTGCCGACAAACTTGTTCAGCCCGGACACCTCGCTCGGGCGAATCAGCCCCGTTCGGCCGGCCAGATAGCTGCAAACCAAGCACCGAGTCACCACCACAGCAACGACGAAACAGTGCGGTTGTGCAAGCGAAACGAGAAGCTGAAATACAGCGCATACAAAGTGGCCGCATGTTTCGCGTGGATGGCCCAAATGTCAGGATTCTTGCAGCGCATGCATTGTTGTGAGGACACTTGCCATGCGACGCTAGTACAGAAATTTCGACTCAGCGACGAATTATCAGCTTGTTTGCTTATGCGTCACGTAACGGTTGGCATGACTGCCCTGTTTCAGCTTGGCTATTATGGGTAGCTGCCAACAGACCATCAAAGATCAGCCCTCTCACGCACATGTCTTTTTGCACAAGTCCGTTACGCACGAGTCAGCGCTCCCCCTGCTGACGCCCCCCCCCCCCCCCCCCACCCGCCCGCCAGAGCCGCACCAACGGATGTGTAATGTCAATAGAACATTGCGTGGCTTTGTAGCCTACATATTTTCGCGAGTATGACGATTTTTTATTCAGACGGTAATGGGAAGCGTGTTTTTCTGCCAACAAAGTCACACATTGGTGCACATCTTCTTAGCCGCGGTTTTATAACAATGTCGGCCCTACACTTACGCTCGTGGACGGCGACCTGGGCCCGCGTTGCTCCATGCGCTGCTTGTCAAGCCGAGCAAGCTATCGACCCGAAAAACGGTCACGTCTGACCGGCCTCGTTTTGATTTAGCCGCCAGCTACGCAACGGGTTTACCGTCGGCTGGGGCCTATTGCCCAATGGCACCGGAACGCCATCAGAGCGCAGAGCCATGCAGCCCGGTGAGTGTGACAGCACACGGAGCGTCACCCGTCCAGCCGCGGCTGTCGCCAGCCGGGAGCCGGCGTCGCCGGCTGGCCGACACTGTAATCCACACGTAATGCCGCCCATTGTTCATCGGTGTGACACCTATCAGCGTGCTGGGCGAGGCCTCCTTTATCAGCGAAGAACGAAAGGCAGACCGGTAGGAACCACCCGCCGCTCAGGGCCGTGTCATCAAGGGAGTCTACGCGAACTGTCCCCGGTAGGGACCACCCGGCCGCTCAGGGCCGTGTCATCAAGGGAGTCTACGCGAACTGTCCCCGCAAGCCTGCCACGCGACGCAAGCGTGAGTTTCCCCAACGGAGCGACAGACGTACCTGCACGGGGTGACAGGCTTACCCGCACGGGCTGACAGGCCTACCCGCACGGGGCGACAGATGTACCCGCAAGGGATGGCAGACTTACCCGCTCGAGGCGACAGACTTACCCGCACGGGGTGACAGACGTACCCGAACGGGGTGATAGACTTACCCGCTCGGGGTGACAGATTAACCCACTCGGGGCGACAGACTTACCCGCAAAGGATGACAGACCTACCCGCTCGGAATGATAGACTTACCGCTCGGAGCGTCGGACTTACCCGCAAAGGATGACAGACTTACCCGCTCGGAGCGACGGACTTACCCGCAAAGGATGACGGCAAAGCACTCTGCGATGGCGGGGGCCAGCCTCTCCAGGGTGGAAGGTCCGTCCGAGTCGGGCGCCAGGCCGGGGTCCAGGTCATCGTCCGTGTCATTGCCGGCGGCGCGTCCCTCGCTCGCCCCCTCCTCCGACTGCAAGGCGAACTCGGTCTCATGTGCGGCATGACGACCGCTTCCGGTTGTCCCAGTCACTGACGTATTTGTACGGTGCAAAAGGTAACCATAACGAAACATCGAGAGAACAATGCCTGGAAATCTCTCCGAGCTATCCGCCATCCGAGATGAAACTCGGACTGTCTGAATGCCGCGAGATCACGCTATGTGCAGGGCGGCAATGGCGGCACATTTCACGGCCTCTGCTGCCGCTCAACCTGAAAATGGGGCACCGGACATGCGATTGTTCCAGTGTCGGGAAGGTTCGGGCTGCGGTGGAGAGCAGAGTGGTTAGCGAAGTGCTGCGACTCTGCCCCGCCCATGGCGCGCGTGTGGTGAGCGTGTTATCTCGCGGCTGCAGACAGAATTTGAAGTTTGTGAGAACGTAAGCGGGGGGCATAAATCGATTTGAATGGGCCCTGAGCCTCGATCAGATGACGGTGAAAGATTATCCCCGCAGAGTTACTGGGATAATTGGATCCTGGCAACAAAAAAGCCTACGGTTAATCAGACACGCAATCCCGTCGTCACCAATAATATGTTCATATTTTGGTGAACTGAGCTCCCAAACTATCCCAGATAGGTACAAATCTGCCGCACCTGTCAGTGGATCATTGCAACACATTTGAAGTCGAACTCCCGATGCTCGGTCACATCGCAGACCTATGAAATCACCCGTCGAGGCTGTACAGTTATGTCTGTTTCTTTATGCAAAAGACAATCCGTGTGGTCTTTTCCTGTTGTGGATTATTTTCGTGCATTTCACTGATTAAATTAAAGTAAGTCTTGTCAGCGGGGTCTTGACTTACTTTGTTAAGCTGCTTCTGGGGCGAACGGCAGGGTTTTGGCATTTCATGTTCACCGTAGTGGATCACCTGGAGGGAAAAAGCACGTTTACTCAAGGCGTTTGTCAGGCGAGTTGCTCGAAAGTTTAAGAGCCAGGGCGTTCGCCGATGCAGAACAAGACAAACAAGGGGGGCGATAAAGCACAGAGCGATTTAACGCTACTGGACACCGCCACCAAACAAAACACTTGAACAAGCTGGAGTGACGACATAATAGACACGGTTACAGACCTTGCGTGGGTTAGTCGGAACTGCCGAGACGTGTGTGAGTCGTTATGAAGTAATGTTGTTTTGCTATTAAAGGGAAACGTACCAAACGGCTCTCCGAATCAAGGGACTATGTATTCTTTAATCAGATATGGCTGGCGAAGTAACATGACGACATTTGACGATCTCTGGGATGGACTGCTTAAATCCTGACTTTTCAGAGTCATGTCAGCACCAAAATAGACGGCAACATGTTATGCTTATCATCTTTGCTAAACTGGTGTCAAACGATCGTTCCTTATTGGAAAGTCAGGGATATCTCACGTTGCTGCTTGCATAGAATGATATCTGTTCAGATTATTTACATAACGTTTGTGATACCCACAGCTTGCGGAGATGGCAATACAAATGTGAATAGCGTATATGAACTTAATCAGACTAACAAGTCAGGCCGTGATATTTGACCTTTGACCTCAGACCACATCGCATCGCAGACCACTGCTCGTTAGCACTGCGACAACGCAACCAGTGGACGGGGACATGCTACTATCGTCTTCTGCGGTGGCGGCCCACTCACCTGCGCCGCCAGACGCCGTCACCGAGACCGCCGGCTGTGATCTGCAGCAGTCTACTAGCGCCGATGGTCCGTGCCGGGGCATGCTCCCAGGATCTGCACCTGCCCGCCCCGCGCCGGAGCATGCTCCCAGAGCCCGCGCCTGCCCGCCCCGCGCCGAAGCATGCTCCCAGAGCCCGCGCTCACCTGCCTCGCGCCGGAGCATGCTCCCATGGTCCGCGCTCACCTGCCCCGCGCCGGAGCATGCTCCCATGGTCCGCGCTCGCCCGCCCCGCGCCGGAGCATGCTCCGGGGGTCTGCGCTGGCCCGCCCCGCGCCGGAGCATGCTCCGGGGGTCTGCGCTGGCCCGCCCCGCGCCGGAGCATGCTCCGGGGGTCTGCGCTGGCCCGCCCCGCGCCGGAGCATGCTCCCAGAGCCCGCGCCTGCCCGCCCCGCGCCGGAGCATGCTCCCATGGTCCGCGCTCACCTGCCCCGCGCCGGAGCATGCTCCCATGGTCCGCGCTCGCCCGCCCCGCGCCGGAGCATGCTCCCGGGGTCTGCGCTCGCCCGCCCCGCAACGGAGCATGCTCTCCGGCCCGCGTCCACCCGCCGCTGCTCACACTCACCTCCTCTGTGCATGAGTAGCCGCCGGTGAGCTCGAGCCGGGAGCCGTACCAGACGGCGTGCAGGTAGCCGGCCCACAGCAGGCCGCCGAGCGCCGTCACCACCAGCAGGAAGCCCGGGATCTGCATGCTGTAACGATGACGCGAACACCGCTCAGATGCGCCCAACGTGGTCTGTGCGGACGCGGCAGCGAGGCTTCCACCTGACGCGAAGACCGTTCAGATGCGCCCAACGTGGTCTGTGCGGACGCGGCAGCGAGGCTTCCACCTGACGCGAAGACCGTTCAGATGCGCCCAACGTGGTCTGTGCAGACGCGGCAGCGAGGCTTCCACCTGGCGCGAACACCGCTCAGATGCGCCCAACGTGGTCTGTGCAGACACGGCAGCGAGGCTCCTCCCTGACGCTCGTGTCATCAGTCCCTGTCATTGTCTCCCTGCGCTGTTGTGGGTGCACGGATAGGATACAGTACACGTGAGCGAAAATCGGCATTTCGTACTCAAGGAGTGGTGTCGTAGCAGCGACATAGACTGACCCATGAATGTAGAGGTGGCGTTATTAATCATAATTACTGCCGTGGAATGAAGTGGCAACGCCCCCAAGCTCAAAATAATCAAAAGCATACATATTTTAGAAGCCTCATCGACGCAGGCAGTGAAACGCACGACTTTGCTTTATCTCTATCAGATTTGACTTACTTTATCAGACATACTTTATCAGATTTGCTTATTTGATGAACTGGATTATTTGTTATACCCAATAGGGCATTGGAATCAGGAGCAGAGTTTTGCACTGGTGGCATGATCATAGTAGGAAAATTACGGGTACGGTTGAGAAGCCAATGCAGACAGCGTTACGTGACCGTCACCTCTCGGAAGTCAAAACCGGAGCGGGAACATCCGCCCTAAGTTCACCCAGAGCACCTGCACATCAGCCGCGCCGGACATATTCTCTCACGGGTTACGACAGGGTGATTTAGGAGTCGCGCGACTGCTTCCGTCTCTGATTTATCGCTGGTCCTGGAGGCGGAACGTGTAACAATGCGAGAATCCCACGCCACGGACTGGCCCAGCGACAACGAAAAAAGCTTCTGGACCAGTAACGCAGTGCATGCATCCAAGCCCGTCGGTCCGTGCAACCGTTCATTTTGTTCCCTATTCTGACAAACCCCTACGTTCCAAATTTTTGAAATGATGCTTCCGAGTTTTAGTCAAAGCGGGCCACAAATCTCTACCATATTGCGTGACTGGCTTACACGGCGGTCCGTATCACCTAGCTGCCCACCGCGCACAAGAGCAGCGTGAACACCGTGGGCAAGATGAGAACCGTCCCAAACTTTCGTCGTTCATTGACAGAATGACAGCCGGGCGTGTTTCCTTTTCCGGCCCCATGCGGCCTCCGTTTGAACACCGAGCACTGCACCGGACACGGTAACAGCCACGCTGATGGGGGGCGGGTCGGCCCGCCCAAACTACGTACGTCGGAACAGACAAAAACCTCCGCCGGCGTGCCGTGGTGCGAAAGCGTAGCGGTCACCTTCTGCCGGCGTCGCGTGACTGGCGGCCTTCGGCGGCGGCTCTCCGCCCGGTGCCCCCGGGCCAGCGCCGACGAGCCGGTGTGATGACCCACGAGGTTAGACGTGCCTTCGTGGAGCCGGCTTTACGACCCTCACGGGCACCGTCGGTTACGTCATCGACAACTCTGCCCCTATCGTCAGTGAGTGGGCGGGATCTGTCGTTGCTGGTGGTGATCCTCGCGACGCCGCTGTGAAGGAATTCCCAGCGGCCGAGCATTCCCTCGCCCAATGAGAAGGCTCCTTCACAGTGCGTTCGGTCTGTGCGAGCTAAATGTTCGATGTAATGACTCAGGATCTAAAAGAAGCTCGCAACGGGGTGTTGCATTTCAGCCACAGTCAATTTCTGGCTGGTGATTGGTTCCAGCGCTGGTTTCTCAATCTATCAAGCAGCAGGGATGTTTTTAACGGTCCGGTTTCGCTCAGTTGTAACGCGACCCTAAAAGTCGCGTTTCCGAGTTGGTATGGAGATCGGTGAAGCATCTTAGGCCCACTGAGAATTGTCAGTGAGATCAACACTCTCAGATAGGGTCCCGCCGTCTTGGACGCAATGAAGGAAATCTCTATGGGTCTAAAATGGTGTAAAATCAGAAATCCCCAGGAGAGGGTTTAAAGGGTTCAAATCCATTTGTGTCGGTTGAGGTACGTCCTGACGACAGCCTGCCGCTGAAAAGTTCTCACAAAACGGGTACGTCCAAGTTCATAACATCGGCATGCAGCTCGGCGCTTATTAATTGCTTCTAATGACAAAACGTGGCTTGACGCATCATTAATCAAGCCTCTGGTCACAGCTACGAAGGTAATGAATATGTCAATCAGCGAGCAATGGGCCACCTGCCCAGCCAAATCTGACTTGGCATCGTTCATGATCTTGACATATCTGATAAGTAACGTCATCACACCGATGTCTGGCTGATCAGGCATGCTCGATTTTCTACACTGTTTGCGTTGAATTGGACTGCCAAATGTACTGTCCACATCACCTAAGCTAGGAGCATGCGCTGCAGTAAGATTACAGCACGGCCAATATGGAACTGTCACGGCACACACGCGTCCGCGCCGTGGCGTTGATGGTGTGCCTGCAGGCTCCGTGCAGCCAGAGCGTTCGCTATAAAGCTGCAATGTTTTTAAAAGGGCTTATGAGATTCGAACCGGCCGGAGCGTTCCTCCGTCGTGACGCATGGGGTGTGCCGACGGCTGTAATCGCAGGCCAAGGCAAACGTCCGCCGTCTCCGAGCCGTGCCGCTCCAGCATCGGACCGCGCCGCCACACCGGCGGCACGACGCGGTCACAGGCGCTGGCCGCCATCGACAGCGGTTCATGCAGGAGCCGGTCGTCAGCTTTATGCGTTAATATCGGGTGTTCTTTTCTGGGGAGGGCTGTTTTACCAATTGCGTTCCTTTCCGGGTATGACTGACGCCAGGAGCTAGACTAATTATCGCATGTTTTACAAAGCATACGATGCTTCTTCTGTTTGTTCTGCAACACCACTTGCGAGCTAATTGTGGCAACAATACATCAGTACCCTCGGTCCCATGTAAAGCACTTCAGTGACATTGAAGCGTCTGGAGTGAAAGCGTCTCAGTCACGGTAAAAATTCGCGGGAGTATAACGCCCCAGCGAGGAGACAGAGCATAGCATGGTGTTCACCGCACTGTCGGTCCCGTCACCCGCGACCGGGCACTTAACCGAGCACTGCTCCATGTGTATTGTGTCCATGCCGAGTGAGGCAGCGTCACCGTCGAACAGACAGGTTCTCGCCTCCGCACTGGCTGGAGTTAAGGTCCGCTCTGACCCCATCGAGATCCGACCACGGACCGTTGAGCTGTGTGTCACGAGGACGTTTGCCAAGCTGTGGTGAATGAATTAGAGATCGCTGTTGGTGCCATTGATCCCAGAAATGCTGCCTTAAGTTGGCTGACTTGGAAAGGAAGATTGCAGGCTAATGGACCTCGTAAGACAATAAAGAAACCGCACCGGAGCTATGAGCTGCATCTCATTGCAAATTAAATAGATAGTTTGCGGGAAGATAGACGACCATGACCCAGGTCACTTGGAGAACACCGGCGAGAAGGATGTACTGCCAACCATTGTCACTACCACGGGCGTAGTCTTGCAAAATAATTTGGGGAGGGGGCTGAACAGTGAAAAATGACCCAGCTCACCTCCAAAATATGCCAACAAACAGGTTTCTCCTCGGATTTTACCTACTTTCTTCCCAAAATCGAAGTAGCTATACCCAAGTTGGGATGTGGTCGGGTGGGAGCTGAAGCACCGCTTTCCGAATTGAATAGGAAACTGCACCATTTATCACTGGTGCCACAAACCCAAGGAGGTCAGGCCAATTCTCTTTAACTTTCAACATTTCATTGACCCAGATTAAAATTAGGTTACATCAAAAGTGAAGATTAAAATTAGATCAAATTAATAGTCAATATTTAAATTAGATTAAATTAATAGTGAAGATTAATATTTGATTAAATTAATAGTGAAGATTAAAATCTGATCACCCAGGGCAGCAAGGATTATTGTAGGACAATGCGGAGGAGCAGGAAGACGAGCTTATGAGGCCCCCGGGCAGGGAGCGCGACAACGCCGGCCAGCTTTTCTGCTTTCACGAGACGAGCCGGTGTCGCGCGTCCCGGCCCCGCCTCGGACGAGCGACAGCGCGGCCGCGCGGTCGCGGGTCCCGGTCTCGGGTCGGACGAGCTGCGGCGCGGCCCGCCGCGCTGTCGCGCGTCCCGGTCTCGGGTCGGACGAGCTGCGGCGCGGCCCGCCGCGCTGTCGCGCGTCCCGGTCTCGGGTCGGACGAGCTGCGGCGCGGCCCGCCGCCCTGTCGCGGGTCCCGGTCCCGGGTCGGACGAGCTGCGGCGCGGCCCGCCGCGCTGTCGCGGGTCCCGGTCCCGGGTCGGACGAGCTGTGGCGCGGCCCGCCGCGCTGTCGCCAAGTCCAGCTCCGCCACATCTGTGTGACGTCGGAAGGGGCTCATAGAGGTTCTGTGTGATCGGCTTGTGGTTGGCTCAGAAGCTAACAACCGGTGGTCTGAGGGTGAAGACGTACTCACGAGGCTTTGGATAGCGGGGATCTGCGATCTGTGCTACGATTTTGTAATTTAGATTTGGGCATACATTTTTTCTGATACGTTGACAGCTCAGATCAAAGGGTAATTGTGATGGGACAAGGTGTATGTTTTCCCCGAACTTGACTTCGCCGGGAGGTTTTGGAATGCGAACATTTTTCGAGTTGGAGAATGCATTAACAGTGGTATGGAGGTTTTGATGCTCTAGAAACTTTACGCGTTGATACTGTTTAGGAAAAAACACCAGTCTTGCATTGGAATACTGTACGGCTAACGCGAATCAATATGCTGTTGCTCCGTTCTGAACGTTCTCGTCTGTTTCGGACAAGCCTCGCCAAGGCGTGGAATATGAATTCATGTGCTCGCTTTGATCCAATAAGCGCACCTTCCTGTGTGAAGCAGATTTCACCCTTCCTGTAGAGTTTGTGCACCCCTGTTCTCCTGGCACCCCTGTTCTCCTGGCACCCCTGTTCTCCTGGCACCCCTGTTCTCCTGGCACCCCTGTTCTCCTGGCACCCCTGTTCCCCTGGCATCCCTGTTCTCCCGGCACCCCTGTTCTCCTGGCACCCCTGTTCTCCTGGCACCCCTGTTCTCCTGGCACCCCTGTTCTCCTGGCACCCCTGTTCTCCTGGCACCCCTGTTCTCCTGGCAGATCACGTGCGGACGCAGCTGACAAGTGTCGCGCCCTGCGTTGGCTCTGATATTCTGCGTGTATTTATGGGTCACCATGTTTAGGAAGAACATTCTTGACATCACGCTAGCTTTTCTCTTCACCATTGCGTGTAAAGGCGTAAACACTGGCATGACGAGCGAAACAGAGCTCTGAAAACATTGAGTCGTCTACGAAACAGGATATTGTCTGGCGTTCGGACACGATTCCGGTGTACGTAGGCGATCGCAGCACTAGCTTATATAAGCATACGGTTTATACACCAATCGCAAACGTATTCGGACTTAACGTGTCCGTGATAATAATCGGAACACAAGGAGTACTTCATATCGGACACAGCGGTACGTGCACGCTGTCAGAATTCAAACGTCTACTCGAAAATGCGTGAAATATTTTGTAATCGAGTGCTTGATTATTCAGGACACTATGCGTTCATGGATCAGTTCTTCATCCGGTCTTCCTGTCACCGGCGCTTCACGACGCACTCAGATGCTGAGGCTATATAGCGTCCCTGCCTCTCACCCCGGCAGGAAGGGCGGGCACTCAGATGCTGAGGCTATATAGCGTCCCTGCTTCTCACCCTGGCAGGAAGGGCGGGCACTCAGCTGCTGAGGCTATATAGCGTCCCTGCCTGTCACCCCGGCACGCTAGCGGCGGATACTGCGGGGAACTGGATCAATTCGGCAGTTTTTTAATTTGATAGGGTCAATTTTCCTTGTTTCCTTTGTTTTAACTCGGTTCGTTCTGTAGTTAGTACACAATGAGTGTAGGTTTATATTCTATACAGATGTTATCAGAATCAGGGGATAGAGCAAAGTAAAGCAGTCAGCTACAATGTGCTTAACACTGTGCTGCACTTACCAAATTAGCCTCCACTGTGGTGAGTGTGAGCGTGGAACTACAGTATAATGATTCGGAAAGTTACAACATGACGACCATGCAATGTACAGTTGTGTGCGTTACTAGCAATAAAAACGTAATACTACGAGCCGTTTTGAGCGGACTTGTCTTTTTCTTGCATGTTTTTCATCTTCTCGAGATTCGTTAGCCACAACTTATTTGATTTCAGCTGGTAAGGTTTGGATTGTAAACGTTAGCCGAAACACCATTCATATCCACCTATGGTGAGAGCTAAAAGACAACCTTAAACCAGACAAGTCGCTAGGAAACAACGGCATATGCTGTGTTAAAATGTGTTATGGGCGCTTTCCTCCGAACTGAACGTATTAGACCTCAAATATGGACCTCAAAAATGAGTTTAAATAACTAGCAAATATCTATGATATTTGTGTTTTGCTTAAACAGGTATCGTAAAGTCATTTGTATCACACCATCTGAGTTTGAGAAAACATGTCGTTAATCGTCTCTTGCGCATGATTATACTTGCCTACGAACTTGCAGTGAAGACCTCCAACAATTGCTGTTCTTCTTGTCTGAATCCCTTCACTCCCCACACTTTTCTCTCACTCCCCACTGCAGAACAGCGCGCACATCACTCTGGCTGAGCCGGTGCCTGTTTCGGGCCGTCTGATGACCGGAGCGGCACAGTTCCTCTTCGCTCCACTCTCCGCTGTGTACTGACCCGGGGCCGCTGGAGTGACGGCAGTCGGACCGGCGGCGGCCGCTGGACCGGGGCTGCTCGAGTGACGGCGGATGGGCCGGGGACTGTCCGAGGGACGTCTGCTGATTGGGGGCCACTGGAGTGGCGGCAGTCGGACCGGCGGCGGCCGCTGGACCGGGGGCTGCTCGAGTGACGGCGGATGGGCCGGGGACTGTCGGAGGGACGTCTGCTGACCGGGGACCGCCGGAGTGGTGACCGCCGGACCGTGGGCTGCTCGAGCGACGGCGGATGGGTTGGGGACTGTCGGAGGGACGTCTGCTGGCCGGGGACCGCCGGAGTAGCGGCAGCTGGACCCAGGGCCGCCGGAAGGGCGCTCGCTGGACTGGGAGCTGCCGGATTGGTGGCGATAGGACCGAGGCTGCCGCGAACGGGTGGGACAGGCTGCTGCTGTTGCTGCCTTGTTCTCGTGCAGCTCAAGACCTGTTCTTCACCAAAAAGCAAGGTCATTCCTAACTTGGGAAAACCAGACAGTGCTCATGTGACAAAGACGTACTTCCCACAGCTACCCACTCCAAATTTTTACGACAATGGAGGTTTTGGGAGCTTTTGAATGACGCAAGACGCCCTGTTACGCCAGCTTCTTATTTATTCAGAGCAATGCTGGTAATTATTACGATATGTATACAGCATTTGGTTGCATCTAAATAGAGTCGATGCTCCGCAAACGCTGTTCTGCTCAAAACTCGTTCTGCAAAATTCTTACCGATCGTGTATCATGACGCATTGCACATCAGCGAGGGGAGATTCCAGGCATTTGGACGAGGCCATCAAAAATAAGGTGTCCTGATTGTTTCCGGCCGTTTTCCAGCACGAATTGGGGAAATGAAACGCACAGTCAAATTCCTGCAGCACCAGCGGCATGAACAGCCATTATCGGTGGATTACAACAATTGCATATTTACTTTCAAGAACGCAAGTACTGCAACACCCCACCACCATCATAGAGACGATTATTTCGGCAGCATGTCAGCAAAGTCTGTATTCGCGCTGTGCCGATTAGGGACATGAAAGGTACCTAAATATATTAAGTCGTTTTATGTAAGTGCCTTACTAGATAAGTTACACATCATTGGGTTATCCACAACTGTAGAGTAAGGAAGAATACATTTGCTCAAACGTCGGAAACCTAGCATATATGGCATGCTGCCAAAGCTGGACAGAGTTGAGGACCGCTGAGACCAGCGCGAACATTCAGATCACAGATTGCCCGATGCCTGTGGACGTGGGCTAAAGGCAAGGAAGCAGCAAAGGAGCGGAACTGGGAATTGCGCAAACCGTAGATTTTCGGTCGTGTGCCGAAGCTTGAAAACTCTGGGGAGGCGGAGAGAGGATCGAGAAGGTGGAAGGCGTCACCTCATGGCAGTACGGGGCTATCAAGATGCAGACCGCATCTCGCCGCACTGTTGTGCAGAGCTTCTGTTGTGTAGAAGCTCCCACCCACCCTGCTCCTTCTACGCTCCCCCTCTCCCAGCTTAGCATGGTTTAGGGTCGCAAAATCGCGAGTGTCACTGCCATTTGCTCTATTTTCTCGTTAGATTGTCGCCTTGAGTCTTTTCCTTCAGCCCGATTGCACTGTAATTTAATTTTTCTGTTAACGGTAAAGCCAATGCTATTCAACTAATGCTAAGCTGACAATTATATCATGGAAGTGCTAAAGCCGTTACACAGTGACGGAGATTTGAGACAGGCATCCGTCACAAGGTCAGTGCTTGTGAACGCTCGATGGTTTGCATGTAGCAGACGGCGAGCAGTCTTCAAAATTCACACAGGAGGTGGCAAATCCCTGTCAAACATCGAAAGAAAATACTGTATTAGCTTGTTGTTTTGTAATGAGCGTGGTATTTGAAAAAAAAATCTAGCACATAACACAGATCAAGGCCTGGTGGCGACAAGTCACATGTATGTACATACAATAAGATCGCGTTTGATCGAAGCGCTGGCATAGTGCTTCGGCGTGCAAAGCAAAAGTTTCGGGAATTAAAATACGGGAAGCAAAGAGCATGCAGTTCGGCCTTCCACCGCTAAAAAACGAACATTACTCTGTGTGAAGCCATGCGACAGTGGTTGTCGCGTCATGTCCTCTTGTTGCTAAATCAAACCTGTTTTTGCAACGTATTGCTCAAGCGAATCGGCGAGTCTTAAATACAGGATCCTACGGAGAAACCAACATGCACCTGAACCTGCCGAGTGATGGCAGGAAAGAACATAGCGTTGTCGTTCGCAGGAGGCTTGATCAAACCATAGATGACCTCAGCTTAACACGCGCTCGGCTGCTGGTCATTTGACTTCCGATGGTCTTTCCGGAATTATTATCGAACCGGTGTAGCTACGCCAAATTTTGCACAGCTACATAAAATTGAATAGCAAATTGTTTGGCATCAAACCTTTAGATGCACCATTAAGGTAGTTGGCCTACGGCAGGTCAAATTCAGGCCATGGATTCAGCGAAAAAAATTTCTAGAGGGTCGTTCAATCTGATGCAACAACGAAGTCCTAGACGATGCCGCACATCTCTACGATAGTTTCCTAGGCAACACAATTAACAGTTGAATTAACAGACTACGTTGACCTAAGGTCAGGTATGAAGGTTAGACCAAGCTAAAACCAACCTGTTTTATTACTCTAGAACTTGCTGCATGGGGTAGCTTCTGATGCTCATTTTAAATTTATTAATAACAAGAATTGCATTATATGTCTTACATGGGATTCTTAAAGGTCCGAATAGGTCACTGAATTAAACTGACTCAGGTTAACATCTTGCTTTAGGAAAATACTGCCTATTGTAATACTTGACGCTTATTCGAATGCAAAAATCAAAGCAGTCTTGCATAATTTTTGCCACTATGACCTTTGAAAGGTCACACAAGGTCGCTGGCCTTAAATGAGTACCGGTGAACTTTACTAAAAACAGGTATCAAGGTTCACGGGGTTGTTTGAAAGGTCTGGGAGCACTGTGGACACCAATCTGGAATTCGACCTTGTTCAACCTTATTTGACACGAAGATCATGACCTAAGAACCTCAAGCGTTTGACACAAGTGAGTTCACGTACAGGCCATTGCACCCTGCGCATTTTATGTTTCTAACTCCCTTAGATTCTAAGATCTCAGTGGGGTTAAATTGACCCCGCCCGAGCATTGGGTATTCAGCCGGCCACCCGGGCGCGGGTTTACCTTCAAATTATGACCGGCGACCAATCATCGCGTTCAAAGTTAGAAACGACTCGGGAGAGCGTCTGCCAAAACACTTCCAAAAAAGAGGAGAAACCGGGACTGTTTTCCCCTTGGTGACAACGCGCCAGCCGCACATCACTCCTTGTTCGGTAATTTCCGGCTTCCAAAAATGTGGCGGTCATTCCCCATTAAACCCATTCACCTTGACTTGCCCCTGCGGCTTTCCTAGTTCCTTTAAGCGAATTTCGGCTGGCTGGAGGGGTTGTCGTTTTGACATGATTGAAGATACTCAGAAAGAACTGCAGGAAGTGCTCGAAGCACACACATGAAGGTTTCCAGGAATGCATGGATCGTGTAAAAAACGATAGGATGTTGGGCGATCACTTGGAAGGCGACTATGGTAACTAAAAGCTAGGCTAAGTCCGCTTCCTGCAATGGTTAAATTCCTGGAGGTTTTGGGCAGCACCTGGAACAAAGTGGGTAAGCGCGTGGAGTGTCGCATCGTGACCGAACCGCTCGAAAAGTCAGCTCCGTGCACTCTGGCTCGGATCGCATCCGGGTGGTTCGACCCTGTGCAGTTGGACGCTCTTGACCTCTGCGCTCCTGCTGCGCTGGGCGTGTTTCCGAGCCTGGCGGGCGGCGCTGTGCCTGTGTGTCGATCGTGACCTCTCCTCACCCTCCGCCCCGGCCGCACTTCTGAGCCTGGTCGGTCCGACTCCGGTCTGTTTCGGCCGTGTGTGCGGGGACGGCTGATAATGGACGTGCGTGTTTGTACGTGCCCTTGGCGCGCCGGAGCTGGTGTGCGTGCCTCAGAGGCACTGAGGCCGCATTAAGCGTCCGGTGGCGATTGACTGACGGCTGCCGAATGCGTGCTTTGCTGCCGATTGCTGAACATCGAGCTCTTGATAGCCGACAGACAGAGCTGTACATTGCGGATGACGGACACTGTCTGACATTTGCAGCAGACACCGTCCGTCTTGTCTGCCAGACAGTGACCAGCTGTAGTTGGTGAAGCCCCTATAGGTATGTAAACTAACCATGATGACAGCACGTATTCCAGTCAAACATGATCGCTTGCATGCAGTTGATTTCAGTCTCAGCCCTTTGACGCAGACGCGTCTATAGCCTGTGCCTGCGATGATGTTGTCCCACTGGATGTCACCATCGCAGCCCTTTGTTCCTCCTCGCTCAGCGCCCTACATGGGCCTACACAGGGGCCGAAGTCTCGTGGAAACATTGCTGACCCTTGCACACCCTTGATCACGACACCCAGGCCACTCGACGCCTACTCCTCGGGCTACTCGACTCGACGCGTGTCCCAGTCGCTGACGCCGTTGCTATAATGATGCTGGCGCCTCTGCTCCCCAGGTCCTGACCCATGCATTTCGCGCACACCTGCTCCAATCTCTGACTCCCGCTCGTCTGGACTTGCCACTGACTGCAGACAGAGGCGAGTCCAGACGGGTGCTTACGGTGGGAATGCCCACTTTTAACACCTGCTACGTGTCCCGACCCACTCCCTTCATAACGGTCCAGCCCACCAGGCAAGGTGTGTCCTTCCGCAAACTTCTCGTCGTTCTGGTCCTCCAAGCAGCCCCGGGCTGTATCGTGAATATCAAAATAAAAGTCCCTACTGAAAGATCCCTCATCGTCAAAACTACCATTCGTGCTCAGGCCACAGCTCTCTCCAAACCACACTGTTCTGTAGCGTAACAGGCGAGCTCCAGCCCCCCCCCCCCCTTCAAAACCACACTGTTCTGTAGCGTAACAGGCTAGCTCCACCCCTCTCCCCTTCAAACACCTGCCAAAACCACCTCTTCGCTCCACAGCACCGCTCCGCGTCAGAAGATGGGGTTCTGTCGGAGCTGCGGTCGGGGAGTGTTTCAAGTCCGCCACCTGGCTTGCTTCAGGGACAGCCAGCGGCGCGCGTTTCCTGATTCTGGCGGTGAGTCAGACCCCGTACCATTTTTGCGGTCTTCCCAAATCCTCAGCGCTGTTTTCGCCGTCCGAGATTTGGCCACGGTCCCCGCAGCCGCCGGAGTTTTGCTCGATGTGCCGCGTGCGGTGAGGCTCCCTATGACGGCCGTCCCTGCCCCTTGCCGGTAGTCTGCCTCAGCTGTGGTGACATGCTGCTTCCCACCCACTCACGTCAGTTCCTGGTTTGTAAAGCTGGAAAATTTGCAAAATCAAGGTCATCACATCGGTTTCGTACCCGGATGCAAGGCGTCTGCCCAGTCATCTTCACCCTGTTTGAACAAAACGTAGGTACAGCTGCGCAGGTCAAAACAGGATCCAACGGCACGCAAATCGATGTCTATTGGCGCATCGGTCGCCTTCTCCCCGAATTGGCACCTCTAAAACTTCTTCCAAGCTCTCGATATCACCATCGTCTCAAACCGGCTGGTAGGCCGTCAGCTGCCTCAAGCTCGCGGCCCGCCCTGGTCGCCCGCGCCCCCAGCGACTGGTCGCTGAGCCCTCGGGCTGCCAGCCGTCAAGGACACCCCTGGCAGCTGGACACCAGGGCCCCAGTTCTACATTACGGCAGGAGTTCCACCCATTGAGGTGGCAGCCTGTGGCGTCACAGATACGCGCCAAGCAAGAACGCATTTGATTCTAAATAAGGGAAAGAAGAAGGATCAGCTGATTCAAGCCCATTGAGACATGTAGCGTGCAGGAATAATGCACTTTCGCATTATCCGATTGAATAGTTTTCGGCACACTCTACGGCTTCAGACACTATTGTCGATTAAATCATCCGCATGCAATCCATCCCTACCCGTCTGCCTGGCATACAAGACAGTCAACACCGTGTCGGCCATTGCTAAATGTTGCTATGTAAACAGCCACGACTTACTTTTAAACAAAAGCATTAACTTAGTCTCACGGCGAAGTAGGGAATGGGCTTGGGCTGTGACGTCGTAGGTAAGTAATAGGCTTATCCCAAAGCAGAGGATGGGCTACCATTTAATTTTTGGAGTAAGCCCACTCGACGCCGCTGACTAAGTGAGCAGCTTTCGGCCAATGTGGGTGTCGTAACTTTGATGATATTTTTGATAACATCACTTGTCAATAAATTTGCAATCGAATCATGCCCAGACACGCCATTCTTGCGTATTACATGTTTTCATGGGCCTGAATCCGCTGACTCTACTTCTTACCTTTATCTGGACTCATAGGCGTTCTCCAAAACCAAGTATGACGCACGTACCTGTTACACAACAGACTGCTACCTCAGCAGGCGGAGCCTGGCAATCAAGAACTGGGACTAGGGCAGTTCACTTATCGCGCGACAGACAACTGCCCTCCACACGCAAGGGCTTGCCGACGAGAATGAGATCTGTTTTTGAACGGATGTACACCCCCCCCCCCCCTTCATCCCCCTCGGCCCAGTGTGAGCTGATCCTGACCCCGCTGTCGGCCCCGACACTGGCAGGCGCTAGCGGTGTGCGCTTCGGAATGCCTTCTTATGCCTTGTTTATCCTCTACAAATTTTGCGGTTTTTAGGCTTGCAAAGAAGTAAAGGCGCCGTTTGTGGCACGTTCCACGTGCTTGCAATGGTTGTGTACCTCTCCGAACGCGAGAAGGAACACGTCTGTTTCGAGTTCGGTACAGATTCGACGCTTCTGCCGTACACCATCCTCGGAATGACTTCTCGTAGAGAAGCAGAAGTGCCCCCCCCCCCCATTTTTCAAAATAGACTCATGATAAGACCTCCGCCTTCTGACCTCCGCCTCCGGACATCGCACCGCATCCTCCTGTATCTGCTGATGGCAATGCAAACGTGATGCCTTGACCCCGCGCGCCTTAACCACTTGCCGCGGCGTCTGCAGCACGCCTTGCACAGTAATTTTTAGTTTATCCATATTTGCTCAGTCAGCACTTTGTCTTCGCCTCGAGCACAGAGACACGACTCTCGGCTCGTCCTTCAAATTGCTTGGTGATATTACTGACCTCAGGTTGTGGGTGTGCGGACATGTCGCGCATCGTTGTTCCAAATGTGTCCCAAGATTAAATCCTTTTCCATGCGGCGTGAGTTCGGATTAGTGTGCCGATGGCCGCACCCTGATAAAAATCATCAGTCAGCACAATCCCAGTCATAACATTCAAAGCATATTTGTACTCTTAGCATTAGCGTGCCTCAAAAGCCTTCGTTAGCGGCATTGCGCATTGAAGCGCACACTATGCTTGTGAACGTGCGACGAATGCAGCGAACATTGAATGGACCACAGTGCGACGACGCCGTCACCACCTTACACACTCATCAAATTGCAACATTTATCGTGACGTTGTCGGTCCGGCGAGGCGTTAGTCGGACTTGTTCATCGCCCCTCGTGTTATCACGCAGTGTACCCGTGATGACTGTCATCTCAGCTGCCTGTTCGGCGCTGGATGTTCCCTCATGACGGCCTGCCTAGCATGGTGACCGTTTTTTGCTCCTGTCCAAAACATGCGTTTACTTATGGTCCCGGCCGAATGCTATATTTCTCTCCAAACGCAAGTACTCCAATGCTCGTTTCACTCGTACTGATGGTCCAAGACTTGGCATGCCGGCCGGTGGCACTGTCGCATGCGCTGAACACTTTCTAAATGAGCCTCATTCCTGATGGGACATCCGCCTGTACCGACGAAGTGCATACGTTACTTCTTACTCTTTGACATGTCGGCCAGCCAGAGCACCACACGCGGTCGGTAATCATTTCCGGACATAGTGACTCATTGCACTCGGTTTTACTCAAAACTTTTCAGTTCACGTCACCAGCATTTATCGTCGTTTACTATTTCCAGATTTTCACATGAAGCGCATGGGGATTTCAGGCCACTGTGGCGTTCCAGGAAAAGAATGCACTGATCAAATGGCTAAAGCAGCCTTGGCTAGCTATCTGATTCTGACACTGTTAATCCCAACAAAACCATTCATTCGCATACCTATCCAGTTCCGGTTCGGGCAGCAGCTTATGGATCGACGACACTATAAAACAGATTTGAGAAATGAAGCCAGACATACAGCTTCTGTTTCGCGAAGGCATCGCACGGAGAACGAGCTCTGTCGCGACTTCCAATCGGACCAGTAGTCTCACTCACATGAACATATTTTTACAAGAACCACGACAGCATCTTCCTTGACGTCCTCTTCTTACGAAGCGTGTGTTTTTTTCCATTCTGGCAACTACATGTGTCCGCGGGAGGACCCAAAAAACGCGTGTGGAAGATCAGTGAGCATTGACGTACCCTGCGGGCTGCAGAGTCAACAGTCGTTAACATGTCCACCACCCTCTTCATCGTCACACAGGTTTTCTCTCCATTCCTGTTAGTTTTGAGACTTGGCCTGTTAACCCATCCCACTGACCTTATGATTCTGCCATGTATCTGAGGTAGCCCTTGTTTCGAGTTGTGCACCGGTTCATCCGAGCCGAAATACCTCGACTGCGTTCAAATGGCCGATTTTCTTTAATCAGTGACTTGCAGCAAGCTTGGCCAACCATGAACCCAGGTTTTGTTGCAGACCTGCAGTTGGTTGGGGTACGAGAACACTTTACTTTTGTTGACAGCGAAATGTCTGCTCGCAGAAGCAGCAAGAACGACACGTTATCCATGATTATGCACTGAAACCCGAACAGCCGCGTAAAGATAACGAACGTTGCTAGGGTCCCAACACGCGTCACGCACATTAAGTGTTCCTTGATTTTCCTTGATAGCTGCGGACGTGCGAGACGAGTTATCATCAAATGCAGTCACGCACGTAGGCTTTCATCCATCGCCAACTTCCGCGTTCTTGCTTTTAAAAGCAATTTGCGTCCGACTGCGCGGGCCGCTCTCAGAGTACATGGCGCGGCGGCCCGTCTTGGCTACGTACGCCACACGGCACACCTTGCTGCTCGAACGGCAGGTAGACCGGACGGCCCGATCAGGGCCAGCAGTCGAGATAAGGCAAACGTGAATTAGAGCAGTGGAAGGGACCTGCAATCTGGATGTAAAAGGCGGCCATGCTCCGACAAACCTCAGCGTTTGGTCCGGCGAACAGGCACCATCACAGGGGTCATTGTATTTCACAAATGGCACATCCATCGAAGCAAACAGCTACGCCGCACGGCCGTCGCCATCAGCGGCGTCGCGGCGCAGCGCACTCAGCTCATCATCAGCATAACTGTAAGGCACGTGATATCGCGCGACAGGAGCCTGCGGGCCGGCGAGGAATGGAAAGCATGTCTACTCCCGTATCAACTGGTGCACCACTCTCAGTCCATAAATTTCACCGCCGGATATGCTGCAGGAGTGATTCGGACTTTCCAGCACCAGGTTAAGCTCAATAAACTGTCTCCTGATGAACTGCATCATGAAGTACAACCATATAGCTACAAGACTGAGCCACATGGGCAGAACTAACTCGGTGCGCTGCAGCACCAGAAGTTGTCAAAGAGCTGCCTCACCCGCATCCGTTGGCAGTAAGCTCTTACGTTGGCATATTCACACATTAGACGGCTTGTGCCTAGTCAGTCTACACTTTACACATATCAATGTGTGCTCAGCGCACTGCTGAGGCGTCAACCGGCGCCTCGCAGCCGGCCACGGGCATGTCGTCCGACCGTGCTGCCGACCAGCGTCGCCGACAGAACCGGCTTGGAAGCGCCGGCGACACACGCACAAAAAACACAGCTTGCGTACTTGGATTGTTGACGGCGGTGGGACAGAAGGAAGGGTTCGCCGCTCTCGTCGGATAGTAGCAAAGGTTGATTCATTCGGTAAATTTCACATTCTTCATGCTGGTGACTGGCGCATCGCAGTGCTAAAAAGGAAACGCCTTCATCCAGAAACTGGTAAGCACCAGGCCCCCATCTGAGTGTGCCTTCAACCTGTGTGACTAGAACGCTAGGAGAGGGAGCGACTTGGTGGGCAGGCAGTCATCAGGAGCCCGACCGGGCCAGAGGACCGGTCTTCCGCTTCGTCGACCAGCTCAGTCCCCGAAGAGAGCCCTCCCTCCCCTTCCACACACGCAAGAGCACAGGTCCTATGCCCGGGGCGAGTCGAGCTGCGCCTTGCCACGCGTCACTCATCTGTCTGTCCGGGAGAAGGTGCGCTGTCTCACCAGCGCCAGCGCCAGCGCACCAGCGCCCACACTCACACCAGCGCCCACACTCAGACCGACTCACACGGACGAACGTAGAGGAAGAAACGCACAGGCTGCTCATCGGGGGCGTCGCACGCCACGCCGTCCAATCTGCCGGTGGTCTGTTCACCACACACCGCGACAACGCTGGAGTCAGCCAGTGGCAGAACGCGCAGCCCTCTGGCACACAGCCTCGCACGGCGCTTCGCACCGCCGCCGCCGCTTCCAGACTCACAGCGATGCGGGGAGTTGCGCGCGCGTACACTCCCTTAGGCACCTACCGCAGGTCACAGGGAATGGCGATGCCACTAGCCAAGTCTCGAAGTCACCCTTTGGGAGAGCGGTGTTTCATAACAAAGCGTTTACAACAGCGGTGTTGTTCGCACCCGAGTCACTTTCGCCGCTCACCGCACCAGCCACAGTCACGTCGCTGCCACGCTCGCAGCATTCCGCCGTTGTCAATTCGCAGAGGTGCAGCGGTGTGGCGGGCGCTGACGCCTTGCCTACCATCCAGCCTATGGCAGCGCCACAGCACAGGCTAGTGTTAGTCACTGTTAGGCGGCGCTACCTGACGCCAACGTCGCCTCTACCGGTGTCGCTGTGACGGCCGCACTGTCCGACGCCGATGTAGCCTCTACCGGTGCCGCTGTGACGGGCGATGCTGACTGACGTCAGCGTAGCCTCTGCCGGTGCCGCTGTGACGGACAGCGCCGCCTGACGGCCGGCTTAGCCTCTGCCGGTGCCGCTGTGTTAAGCACCAGTGGTCGGCGCCGCCCGGTCGCCGCTCTTGTCCGTGCCCGGGCGTCCGTGGCGAGCCGCGCTGTCCACACTGGGCGGGTGAGCGGCGCGGCGCCCCACCAGGCGGAGAGGACCGCCGCGTGTCCGCGCCGGCTCCGCCGCGCCGCCGGCCGCCTCTCGCCCTCGTCACAACGCCTCGTCGCTCGCTGGGCTGTAGGGCACGCTCTGGTAGCCGTAGTAGCCGGGCCGGACGGCGGCGCCGCCGTTGCCCGCGCCGTGGCCGTTGGAGCCGGCGCCGGCCGCAGCGGCATCCGGCCGGCGGTGCCGCTTGAAGAAGCCGAGCTGCGGCAAACACGCCAGTGCGTGAGAATGCGGCGGAGCGGCGGGCGCGCGCTCGACCAATAAAAGCATAGGCCGTTACCGCCGCCGATGTCTGTATGCCAGTCAAGTTTACGCTTTCGGAGCCTAAGTCGTGCTACACGGCAACGAACCTTGACGGAAACGGCACCTTACGCAACATCCCGCACTTGCACGTTGTTCCACCGCGCGCTGCAATTACACGCCCAACTGACCTTGTACAGGATGAAGATGAGTATGACCAGGATGAGGACGCCTCCGCACGACGCCAGCACGATGACCCACCAGGGGATGGGCGCCGCGCTGTCGTCGTCGGACTGCACCCGCGTCGTCACCTGAGGCAGCGGCCCGCCCGCGTCAGACGGCCACCCTGAGAATCTCCCGGCGACGATCGCCGTCCTCCACCCCCAGACTTGCGACACTGAGCGGTGCCCTGCCGCGACGGAGCTGAGTCGTCAGACCGAGCAAACGTCCGCAGTGAGCCGAGCGATTCGGTCACAAACGCAAGCATAAAAAACCGGTGCGACATCTCACACTGCATGGAACGAGTGAGGCCATAACAGACTCACTGTTTCACCATGTGGATGATCACCGGAGAAACAGGTGGAGTTCGTTACCTTTGAGGAAAAATACGCATGGAGCGTATCAATGCATCTGAATATCCTTCCTACGTGAGTTCAGCAGGCTGATGTACCGCCGGTGCGTGGCGTCCGCGCAGCCCTTTACAAATCATTGCTGCGACGTTGGCTGGCTTTAGAAGGTCAACGTTTCAACTTTCCAACGCTCAAGCAAGCCATGACCAGGCATCGGAATTGTGATCGGGACTCTGGACTAGCTGACGTTTCTTCCCGATGGTTTTTGGCCTAGCTTCCAGATGGGGTGGTGATGTGTACCTCTAATAAGAGCCGGAGATCAGCAGAAGTTTCGGCAAAAAGACTTTCTTAATGCCGTGCTCACAGCACTGAGAGAGGGTGTATGGCAAAAACGTCTGCCCGACCCTGCTCTTATAGTTATTCACCACCCTATACCGTATTTCAACAGTGCCGTATACCATCACCAAGCAGTCAATAATTTTGGTGAAAATTGCGATATTGGCAACAAAACGAGCATCACAACTGGCCAAATTGTCTGGGCTGTTGTCATAGCCTGGTGTAATAGTTGGCACACAACGCTTCGGCCAGTTGATTGTCCGACCGTCGCACGGTGTTGTTGAGTACTGAGAAGACCTGGATGGTGTTCGGTTTTAGTCATGTATCCATCACATCCTGTATGACCTCCTAGGAAATGTTGGGCTTGGAACCTGGGTCTGCTGAAAACGAATACAGAGCTTTAACAGCAGAGCTAGCCTGGAATGCCCAACGGGCATTCAGCAGTCAGTTGTAGGCGCTGGACTCCTAACCGGAAGACCCCCGATTCCAATTCTAGGAATGCAACTCAGGTCGTGTCTTGTGCGTGCATGAAAGTCAAGCACCATCCAGTCGTTGGGACTAAATAAAGCCTGACGACGAATACATCCAACCGTGATACTATTAGCCGGTTTTTATCAGCACACTTATAATACTCATAATAAAGTTCTTCCGCAAAACTATAAGTGTATTGCATCTTGAGAAGATTAGGGTCGCAAACGTATACTATGCGCCCGTACATATAGTTACATATCCTGATTCCAATTCATTTAAGTCAGCGTATGTTGTACTTGAGACCAGTTTTGTGAAAGACGGGTCACAGACTTTCCGTTATATGACCGGCACACCTATGTGTCAAACGGCGTTAAGATTACCCAACCATTTGGAGACATTTCGTTGCCATTGCTCAGCTGATTTGACTTTTCTACCGGCCCTGGTTGTCGATATCTGACGTTAACCATTCAAGAGATCCATGGCTGACGCATAGTCACACGTGATGGTCTGCTCCTACCGACCAGTACTTTGGGTAGCACGATTGTCCGTCTTTTCCTCCGCCAGAATTGCTTAGTCTGACATCACTGGAACTTAGTCCCCGAAATATAGACCTGTTTCTGACGCGCGTCCTCAAGCTTTTTCATCCTTACAGGGCTATATTCTGCCACACTCTGATGGAATAGCAGGTGACGTAGTGGTGAATCGGAGCGTTGGGGATCTACGCCACCTCAAACAGCCCGCATCGGAGTGCTTTGAAAGGATGACAGCACTAGTTTCAGGGAATTCTACTGCTTGCTGCTGATTACTTCCAAGCGGCGTGATCGACGACTGCGAACATACCACGCCGTTAGGAGCGTGACTGGCCTGACCGGACCGGCAGAGTCACGCCGGCTGTTCAGGCTACACAGTTTCCGGTCAGTTAGTGCTCAGACGCGCCCGGCCTCCGGCCAAACCTGGTAGTTACTGCGAGCAGGATGTGGTAAAAGTAAGCATTGCTTTGTGTGCACCACGGCATTTGTCCGCAAACTTTAATCAAATCCGTAAAGATCCGGACATGAAAACCACGCGCTTCCTTTACATGCATTTCTCCTTCTACTCTCCACTCTTTGTTACCTTGTCAGCTTGAAAGAATGGCACAGCTATATAATGTGATATCGAATATTGTATCAAATATGATAAACAGCTATGTAGTACTTAATGCTAACAATACATGTTGAAAATGCTATTAATCTGGGGCATAACAAGAATAAAATGATAAAATGTCAACCGGTTTGTTTTTGTGCATTATTTGCCCGTAAACACATCCAAAATTTGCCGAAGGATAGCACGATGATGTGCCACATACTGCCTCTTTACGTTATGAGCTGCAATCAGTACAGATCACGGAGTAACCAGGTGGGGGAGGACTTTTGGGGCCATGCCGCCCCCCCCCCCCCCCACCGACCCGTTGGAAGTAGCGGGGCCACCTGGTACCAAAGGTTCAATATTTTTGAAAGCTCAGTTTAAGATGCCTGTATGCCTTCTAAAACATAATTTCGGGTTCCTGGAGCATAAAACTGGATCTCGTGAAAAGTCTCCTAAAAGTTCGACCCGATCCAAAAGCAGGATCCTTAAATGTGCGCCTGGGTGGCTGGCTGAATATCCTTGCTCGGTGGGGGGCAATTTGACCTTTGAGATCTCAAAAACTAAGATAGTTAGAGACACCAAACGTACAGGGTAGATTGGACCGATACTTGCACTCACTTGTGTCAAAACTTGAGGTTCCTAGGTCAAGACCTGGGATAAAAAAGCCAAACAAGTCAAACCCAGGATTCGTGTCTCAAATATGTAATGTAACCGTGTATGTATGATCCTTATGTATCCTCCGTGTATCCTTATGTAACCGCCATGAAGGTAGATACCTGTTCTAAGCAAAAAGGTCAAGTAGTTCAGTGACTGCTTGAACTTTGTAAGGTCAAAAAGACCATATATCTACGAGATCACTGATATTTTGTCGTTTGAATAAGTTTCAGACATTACGCTTGTTGGTTTGTTCCTTAAAAACAAAGTGTTGACCTGAGTCATCTTAGGTCCGCAACCTACTCTCACCTTTAAAAATCCCATGAAAGACGTCTGTTGCCGTCCCTGTAATTATCAAATTCGAAATGAGCACCAGGAACTACTCCATAAAACCAAGCCTTCAGGTAAAAAGCATGTTAGTTTTGACCTTCTTCAAATTTTCAAACCTGGACGTAGGTCAATGAAATTGGTTGTAATTCTAAATTTAATCGGTTTATTGCCTAAGAAGCTATCTCGGATATGTATGGCCTTGTCTAACAATCAAAGCAAAAAGCTATACATCTCTGAGATACTTTCTTAGGCAACACAACAATAGAATGAACGAATTCCATCCCCCTCGGGTCAGGTGTGAAGGTCAGACCAAGGTCAAAGCCAGCCTACTTTATTACTCTATGGCTCGCTGCATAGTGTAATTTTTGGTGCTAATTTCGATGGTATTGATGACAGGAACCGCATTATACATTTTGCATTGCCATTTGAAAGGTCAGAATAGGTCACTGACCTAAAATGGTCCAGGTCAGCATTTTGGTTTACGAAGATACTGGCTAGCGTAATTTCTGTTGCTTATTCATATGCAAAACTCATAGCAATCTTATATGATTTTGGTGCCCATGACCTTCATAGGGTTACAAGGTTACTGATCTTAAATGAGCATGTGAACTTTTGCTAAGAGCAGCTATCTAGGCTCTGGGGCATTTTGGACACCAAACCGGAGGTTGACCTTGTTTGACCTGATTTAACCCGAAAGTCACGACCTAGGAAACTCAAACTTTGACTGAAGTGAGTTCACGTACAGGCCAACACACCTTGCGAATGTGGTGGCCCTAGCTCCCTTAGTTTCTGGGATCTCTGGGGGGTAAATTGACCCCCTCCCGAACAAAGGGTATCCAGCCCTCTTTCACCCGAGCTTGCCTCCTCTTGGGCGAATTCCTGGCTGCACCACTGCCACAGACAAAAGAGGATTATGTAACCTGTCAGCCTCGAATAGCTCATGACATCGGGATATACGGTACAAAGCTGGTCTGCGAGATCAGCACGCCGCCCCCAGACACCGAGCCGATCAGCATTTCCACTTATCGACTGGTGGTAACGAAGGCCAAAATAAGAGATGCATTTTGCAACACAGCGCAGACTCTGAGTTGGCATTGACATAGCGCTGATCCGTAGAAGCGATGGGCGGCAGGGCACGGCAGAGTTTGAGCCGACTCCAAACATGCGCCATCCAAACGAATCGACTCGATCGACAAAAATAGGCAAACATAAAAGACGGACTATGAACTTGTCTGCTTCCCTGTGTTTCATTACGCGACAGTCGTTGGTGGTGGGGCTCGGGAACAGTTTTCACCTCCACTCATGAGTACGAGCTGACGTTTCCGGTGCGTGCGGCGGTCACGCCCTGACGCGTGACGCAAATTAGGCCTTATGTAAGCGTGACGCTCCGCTGCTATTGAGCCCCGCCGACGGCTTTGCAAGGATGTGGCGCCCGTTACACCGCACTTTAGTGGTAACGAAGTGTTTGCAAGCGGAGCTGACAGCAAATAGCGCCGATTTCACCGTGATGAAGGAAATAAAGCTTCCCCATTGAAAGTTCTGTTGAACACGTCATCACCTACTGACTTCCTATAAAATTGTGTGGGAAATACAGGCTTTTGCTGAATCTTAGCGTAAGCATAGTTCCTCACACTTCGTATGTAGGTAACGGCTCTGGTGAGAAGTTAAAATAATGGTACACACCAATGCTCGATTTATCTTACCTTTTTCAGATCAGGACATTTTTTTCTCAGAAGTGTGGGACGTGAGTACCAGTACGCGGTTGCGAAGTCTTACGACGTGCGATTACGATGCATTAGTTGAAGTGTCGTGATATTGTCAAGCGTCCATGAAATTACGATGGTTTAAATGTCGTACAACATAATTTGGGCCCATTCATGCTTTAACTTAATTGCTTCAGATGCAGTTCGAAGTCTTTAGTGAACCTTGAATGAAAAACAAAACTGCGAAGTGACGAAGAAAAAGCACATTTTGCAAAGAATAATGAGTCGTAGACCAGTTGCCTTAAACACAACGATGTGCCCCTTAACAGAAAAGCTTTAGGTGCTACTATTTTACCTAATTCACAGGTAAAAAGCTATAGGGATGATGCAGCTACACAAATGACATGTCTTAGATGTAAGCACTGACTACTTCAACCACCTCCAACCACCACCAAGTGCGTCAAAGGGAACGACATCTGGTTACGACAAGGGCAACTTTTGCTTTACAGAGCCGATCATGTGACGAGAGGCATTAGAATCGATGTTTTCGAAGCGTTGTTCAACCGGGATTTTAATATTATGGGTCGGCACATGACGTTGACATAAGGCTACAACATATCACTGTCACTTATGAGACGGGTCAGACATAATTTCCATCAAGATTTCAGCGAAAACTCAAATTCTAATTGTGCCCTCTCATATTCGATCTATCGGGAATGATTACGCCTGTGATCTATTTTACGCGATGTCCTCAGCTAAAAGGTTCACACTACACCACATATTTTGTACACAGGCATTCCTAAATATTCGAGGCTTGCAGCGGCATAAACATATTGGATCTATACAAGATGTGAAAGGACGCGGAAGGCACTGAATGTCAAATAGAACACAGCGAAGGCCGAACTTAGGCTCTCTTATTTGATCCATCCGGAACGGGAAGTCTACTGAACCTTTTTCGCTCACACTGCATTGAAGCTATAATACGCTTTTCCACCTACTACTGTCGTTATCTCTTCATACTGGGGGATCATGGTCTACGAAAGCTATGAGCATTAAAGCATTAAGAGCATTATCATAAGAGCAATATATAATAGCAAACATCAAGAGCATTACACGTTCATTATGCTTATATATAACATGTATGATATATATATATATATGTGCTTACATATACATACATATATATATATATATATATATATATATATATATATATATGCTTATGCACGGTGCAGGAATAAAGATCTTAGGACACGGACAGCGACTTTGGCTCGGGTCGAAGCTCCTGAGTTTCAGAATCAGACTACAGGTCTGTTCACGCCGGCGCATTCTTCTCGCGTGGCACCCACGTTGACAGCAGGTGACACCACGAAAAAGTGTACCGAGAATAGACACCAAAGGGTGCTCGAACCGGGATGCAGGACGGCTCACTCGTCGCAATAAAAGTCTTACCGAAGGCACAAAAGTCCTCCTAAACATCTTAAAACATCTAAACATACAAGAAAGCTCCGTTTGATAAGTAATCGGTAATCGTCTACAAATATGACAAAAATAAGTTGCGTGTTCGACATCTATTCTCATAATTTAACTTCCCACATAAAACAGCAGATAATAGAGCATATAAGAGCATGCAACGATTCACATGGATATTGCATTACATAAGAGCATACAACAATTGACATGGATCTTGCATGCATGCAATTTGCAAAGACACCTCCTCTTTCCACACGTGAAAGGGGATGCACTAGGGTGTTAGGCCCTACGTCGCTTTTCATCAGCAATGCTCTGAGTGACTCGGTCATCCTATGCAAAGAATGCGCTGGGGAAAGGCAGCAATTTTTTATCCTCCCGAAGCCAAGTTCGCGAGCTGACCCCGACCCCACCCGCTATCTCAGCCGCAGAGCGAAAGAGCGGATGCGACAAAGCCCCCGGCAAGCCCGCTGGGCGGTAAGAAAGCAAGGTTAGACTGCTCAGGAGGCCTTGGAGTAATCAGGGAGGGGGGGGGGGGGCGGTAGCGGTACAAGCAACCCGACTTTCCGACCACAGCGGGGCAGACTTCACCCCGCATTCGCGTGACAAGCGGAGCCCTGGGAAGAGTTGCGTGGTGTGCCAGCCGCAGCGGTCCGAGAGCTGCTTTTAAGGCGGATGCCTGTCGGACTTCCATCCGCCTAATGTCCCCCGCGGTTAGAGCGGCTTCTACGCTCCTAATGGGGAGAGCTGGGGACACAGAGCGCGTCCCACGAAAGCTGTCTGCTGCGCCGGGAGGCGGAGGCTTAGTATTCCAGCTGGCAAAGACGCGTAAAAGCAGGTACGCGCGCGGTGCAGACGTGCGTTCACGTGGGGTCGCTACGCAGCTCCGGATCGAGCACGACGCCTGGGTGCACACTCTGTGCACACGCCGCTAGTCGTCCACGCAGTCACCGCCAGGGCATCTTTCCCAAGAGTCCGCCTCCAGAAATAAAGCGGCGGCTTCTGATGCGCGCCGGATCAATGTGAACAAGCGTCAGACGCCACCGGGCGACCAACTCTTCTGATGTGCGCCGGATCAATGTGAACAAGCGTCAGACGCCACCGGGCGACCAACTCTTCTGATGTGCGCCGGATCAATGTGAACAAGCGTCAGACGCCACCGGGCGACCAACTCTTCTGATGTGCGCCGGATCAATGTGAACAGGCGTCAGACGCCACCGGGTGACCAACTCTTCTGATGTGCGCCGGATCAATGTGAACAAGCGTCAGACGCCACCGGGCGACCAACTCTTCTGATGTGCGCCGGATCAATGTGAACAAGCGTCAGACGCCACCGGACGACCAACTCTTCTGATGTGCGCCGGATCAATGTGAACAAGCGTCAGACGCCACCGGGCGACCAACTCTTCTGATGTGCGCCGGATCAATGTGAACAAGCGTCAGACGCCACCGGGCGACCAACTCTTCCATCATCTTCAGCACATGGTCCAGATGACGTGCGTCACCGGAGAGGACGAGCAGGTTAGTGGCGGAGCGCACTGCTGTGAACTAGACACCATGATCTGCGCCCCGACACCATTCCGGTGCAGCTCATCCCCGACGAATGGCCCTGTGGAGCAGGACAGGTGGCGATCGCTGGCCACCAGGTATTACACGCGCTGACAGACGGACATACCAGGCTGACAGGCAGATCAGCTCTGCACAGACATGTCCTCGACAGCGTGCAACAGGAGGTCAGTGTGCAGAAATGCCCGAGTATTTCCAAGTGTCTAGATTCGCGGTGAAGGACGGTGGGCCCGACTAAAAATGCCATTGTGCAGTCACTTGCACGAGGGTGGTGGCTTCCGGCGTCCCCGATAATCATCCGAGCCGTCAGGACTGGGCCACATTTTTTATGAGGGACGCAATCATGCTGCACGAAAACTGGACGGCATCCGAAGTTCATTAAACACGGAAGTCATGACCCATGTCAAGGCCTGCGGAAGGGCTGGAGAGGCTTCATACAGAACGTGCTCCTAGAAATGTAGTCGGGGCCCCACGCTGCATCTACCAGACGCGCTGCATCATTCGACGCTGCATCCCTCGGACTGCATTCTCGACCACACGACCAGACGAGGCAACTCAATTCGAAGATTCAATCATACAATCAAAGATTCTTGCACCACTCTTCTCTAGGGGAATGCCGATGGTAGGAGAAAGTATGCACAGGGTGCAGCGGCAAGGACTTGGAATGTATGACGGTGGATATCCAGCGGCAAAGACCTGGAATGTATGACGGCAGATATCCAGCGGCAAAGACTTGGCATGTATGACGGCAGATACCCAGCGGCAAAGACTTGGAATGTATGATGGCAGATACCCAGCGGCAAAGACTTGTAATGTATGACGGCAGACACCCAGCGGCAAAGACGCGGAATGTATGACGGCAGACACCCAGCGGCAAAGACTTGGAATGTATGACGGCAGATACCCAGCGGCAAAGACTTGGAATGTATGACGGCCGATATCTAGCGGCAAAGACTTGGAATGCCTGATGCATCCATCAAAAGTATGCCGTATACATATGCGTAGTCTATAGCCCGGGGCTATGTACGTGCGTCCGACGCGCGTGAAAAGCCTGCGTCAACAGATCAGCAGACTTATGTCCAGGAAACCGAAAGGACTCCGGCTTGCACTTCACCCCTAGCCCTGCGCCCCAGGGCTCAAACAAAGCAAAGACGTGCATAAAGGGAGGGCTCGGAGCTTGCACTTCACCCCTAACCCTACGACCCAGGGCTCAAGCAAAGCAAAGACGTGCATAAAGGGAGGGCTCGGAGCTCCAACCTCGACTTCAGGTGCGCGGTGTCGGATTGACACGCATGCTCAAGCTCTGGGACTCGGGTTCGTGCCTGAGAGACATCACGCTTTCACATGAAGGTTCAAGGATTGACAATGCACGTCTGGTTGGTCAGCTCACCGCATACGCAGTGTAGTTCATGTATGATGGGTCGACTTGGTGTGGCAGTCCAGTCACACGTGCCACCAGTTTCGAAGAAATTGTTATCTCTTGTACCTTTCCATTCCTAGCCTCCTGAAAACATAGTATTAGATGCACTTAGGAAAGCAGCAAATTTCGCACAGACATAACTGCGTAGCTTTGTAACAAACAAAAAGGACATGACTCTACGTAAGCCGCAAGGGTACAGACGTCCTTACAAAAGATAGACAGTTTGGTTCATGGCCATCAGTGTGTAGGAGCTCACCGCAGGGCCTTGCTATGCTATCCTCTCTACACTCAGCGTGGTACACTGCGACACAAATCTTAGTTGTAAAAGTCGTACAACGTCACAAAAGTCATTATGAATGAACAAGGTTTGAAGGCATTCTCCACGATACCCCTCATACGCTCCACTCTGGCCTTAGCCTTTGAGATGAGATCCAGACACTTGCATTGCTGCGCTGGAATTCTGCGCAAGAAAATACACCAACACCTTGCATACTACCACATAGCTTAAACCTCGGCTGGAATTTCACGCGGCGCTAGCCGAATTGGCTTGCAGACCCACCTCCTCAATGGTAGCCACCCACAGTCGCGTCCTGACGCGGATGATGACGTTTTGCGAGTCGGCCAGCGGCCCGATCCTGCAGAGAATCTTGGTGCAGATGGTCGGGCCGCAGCCCAGCGCCGCCTGGAAGTCGGCCTCGCTGTCTCGCCGCAGCCGCCGGTATGGCGGCGCCACCACCGCGCCGTCGGAAGGCGGCTTCGGCTCGGGCATCGGAGCCCGCACGGACAGCTGAAGCAAGATGACCACTGTGGTCCTCGCGGCTGCTAACAGCGCGACAGTCAGGCAACTCCTCGTGGAGTGAATCGGTCAAAAAGAGAATCTTCTATGTCATAGCTTGAAATAATCTATTCTGATCGTATTCAGAAGTTTAGATAGAGCTTGAAAAGTGTTATCCAACGAAGTGTGCTTCTGTGTCGCACCGTGCTCAGATTTTGAGGCGACCGGGCCCACGTACAATTCATGGTCAAGAAGTAAGCCATATGGCATGGTTTTATATGTTGGAGATTACGTCCTCTGGTAAGCTACCATCGGTGATGATGCAGTACGCCAAGTGTCATACAATGACGCTTTTCGTCACTGTCACGGCTATCGTGACGTCAACTGTCGTGCCCTGTGACCGGCTTCAGCCCGTCTTGCACAGCACTGTTGTAAGCCCAAGGTGTAAGTAGGCTGGTGAAGCCCATACTTTGTTAGCCTTGCAGTGTTGCAGAAAGTTAACGCGTCATGGAACAGCCCAAATGCAAATGCTTTTCAACGTATGCGCTACAACTTTCAAGTACCCGCGCTTGGGTGTGTGTGAAAACTGGGAAGTGCCGCTAATAGCCATTGCAAAGCGTCTAGAGAGCGTGACGGCTAGAGCCCTTACGCTGCAAATCCTCTCGTTGTTAAAGCACACAATGGCTTTAACAGCGAGAGCGGTTCACACTTGGACTCCGGCCCCGTATTTGTCATCCTGCTACGCATAGATTTACGTATGAATGCATGATTCGACCATTTCGCTCAATTTAACCTTCCCGGTTACCGGCGTGCTAAGTCAGCCTGCCGTAGATATCTTACGCGACAGGCCATTTAAACGGCAGTCCACATTGGTCCTTGTGAAGGCCCCGGGTGTCGATAATGGGTTGAGTACTGATGAAAGAAAGGCAGTCCAAAAGTGATTTTCAGATCAAATTAAATCAAGAAACGCAATTTGTGTCATACGTTAGTCTGTTTAGTAAGCAGCTTCGGCCGTCGGCTGCAACATATTCCCGCGCCTCTGCGCCTGTAAGCCTAAACGTAACTCTGCCATAAGCGAAGTAAGTGGTGGGACGCATTTATATCACGCACGCACACACGATCATGGGAGATCTATGAGAGCATTGGTCTGACCTTGAGCTGCAGAGGATTCACGCCAGGGACGGGATCACAGCTGCCCGGACCCTCCACTGTCGGCTGCTCCAACAGGTACAGCAGGTGCTTGTCTGGGAAAACAGGGCCGGCAGGCGCCGTTAACTGAGCACTGGGTCCCGAAGCACCAGCGGTGGTCTCATTTGCGATCAGTGGCCGGAGCGAAACATGTGTGTAACATGTGGACTTCAGATCTTTCGAAACCCTCGCGACGATTTTTCAATGCGCAGGCTGAAAATACACCAAGTGTGCTTGACTAGGGTCTGCTCTTCCAGAGATCCTATGGGTCACAGGTTTCCAGTAAAAAATCATCGCGTTCGGCAGGAACTTGCCCAACAGTGCCGCGCGTTGACGCGCCGCATATCCAATGGTGCTAGATTGGCTCTCAACATCTCTGCAAGAAGAGCGCTCTCACATCCGCTCTTGATCTCAGCACCAACCTTCCGGCAGTGTGTAGGTGGGCCAAAGAATGAACGCCTCGGCAGAGACGATCTCCGAGGGTCCTCCGTTGCTGATCTCGTACACGTGGTACAACTCGGGGCCGATATCACGCTCGTGCTCTTTCGTCTTTTTCGAGTATCGACTCGCGTTGTAGTGCACATCCTCGGGTCGAGAAATTCTGCGCAGGGACGGCGTAATGTGAATGCAGGATCTTTTAAAAGGGCTTCAAATTACCGATGATGTGTGACATATGAGCACAAATACCCAAGGAAATGACACAGCTCAACGGAAATCCATTCACACCAGGTAATAACAAAAAGCTTTGTGTCATGCTCGCCTCACCAGACCAGAACCTAAACGCAAAGAACTGTGTTTATGCCCCAGAAATCGTGTTCTGCTGCGGCTAATTCGGCGAGTTCGCCGTCCGCTGGGGCGAGTTGGGTAGCTCCACACCCCTGCCCCGGCGCGACTAACCCTGTGACAGCCATGGCACCGAACACGTCTTTGTGAGCTGCCTGACATGTCACTCGCCGTGGGTCAGATATGGCAGCAGAGGAAAATCCACTGGGGGTCGGTCATCTTCTCATTGAAGTGCGATACCGGCTTGTCAGCACGAATGTTCACAACTAGCGTTGGACGCGTCACCAGGGACGAAGATTAACGCGATATCTGCGGACAATTACCACCTCGCCTACCGGCGACCCGGATCGACGACGCCACAATTTTCCTTGCATGTTCGACAATCCCCGGGGGCATTCAAACATGGACTAGTCGGCTAGCTCCGTGTGGCCTCCACGTGCGGGGCACTGACCTCCGCAGTGTCCGAACACACCGTCAGGGAGCGTCCGTGCCCCGCAGAAGGCCGTCACACGCCGACCTGTCACGGATCGGCCCCAGGACGGCCACGCGCGCCGCGCGTGCTGTCACCCCCGACTGACCCCAGCACGATGAGCTCGGTGTGGATCCGGATGGGCAGCGTCAGTGTGACGTCATTGTCGGCCAGGCTGGCAGGCTGCTCGACGTTAGTGCTGTTGACCGACATAGTGAACTGGTAGTGACGCTGAAGCTCCTCAGACGTGCTTTCTGGCATCATGTGCACGAAGAAGTGGACCTGGAAAAGTGTGGCAGTGTGGTAAGGTCTGCCAGATTAGGCCTGGGCGCAGATATTCCGCAATGTTCCGGCACGTTTGTCGGCACGAGCCATTGTCATCTCTAAACGCTACGGGCGTGTGAAGGCTCCCGGACCTGAACGGATACTAAATCTAGCCTGCGCATGCGTGGAATGTAAAACCCACGGCCCGATCAGGAATCGGCACTAAGTTATATCAGACAGAAGGCTGAATGCTGTGGTGAGCATGTCTTGATTAATATAATGGTGAGCCTGAAAGAACTGGCTCACTCCATTGGGTCGTTTTCAAGATCAAGAGGAACATTCCATGCTTCAAGAACTTAGTCAGTTACTTGTTTTCTTATCCAAAAATCATCAAAGGGATCAAACCATACGTGAGCCAGAATTTGCCATTGTAGCTCATCTTTTTTTTGCCACAAGCCTCCCAACTAAGCCTTGTGAAACAATTGTTGCTGTGCACTGCACGGAATGGATGAATCTTACGTAAATTGCATATGTGTTTGGGGGGGGGGGGAGTATATCGTTTTAGCCGCATATTGCTACGCCTATGATCATCCACAGCTGAGTACACCACTTGGTTTCGTCTAAAGGCGTCTCATGGTTGCAAAACATTATTTTACAGTAGCACCTTTGGAAGTCGCCTAAAAAACAATCGGCAGACAAGAATGAGGCAAAGCGTACAAGGCGATGCCACCTTTCCATGAAAGACCGCGGTAAACTCAAGCTGTCCTGCTTTCGACGCTGACCAGAATTGCAATAAAGAATGTACTCAAGGGGTGAGAGGGCGGAGGGGCCGGTCGTTCACATTCCCGTTGAGGGTTGGGGCTCATGGACCCGCCCCCTCCCCCCCCCCCGCCCCCAATGTTCGCTCTAAGCGCCCGCGGGGCACTTACATTTAAGTTTTATAGATCCCGATCAATTCAGATGTAACAACGATGAATGTGCATTTAAGAGGGCCCGCGGGGAGGGGGGGGGGGACGTCAAAGGCTTTTAGATAGGCGAAGTGACCTTTGATGGTCTGAAATGCAGCCGATACATAAAGGGTATGCTAAATCCTATAAGAAAAAAGAACTAACTCTGGGGTGCTTAGCAAAATAATGGTGCTCGCTCAGGTTGCAGGTTCCCTGAGACAACAGTTCACTGTTCACTGAGACAACAGTTCACAACAGTTCACTGTTCTCCCGGGCGAAACCTTGGCTCCGCACCTGATCGCAATAACACTGGCAAGCGCCACCTGCAGCCCAGCAATCCCCAACTCACCCCAGCGCTCATCGGTAGTGGGTTGCCTAGGTCACAGACCAAGACCTCTGTCTCGTCACCTTCCAGAGAGCAGAGCACCTGCAGGGTGGACGAGTCGTTGGCGGGCTCGGTCCCGACATAGTCGACACCTGTCGGAGAAGACCCCATGATAGTCAGAGTAGCAGCGCACGAGCCGTCGGCCGGCTTCGTTCCGACATAGCCGACATACAGAAGTAACGAATCAAAGCACCGACTATCGAGCATATAGAAAGAAAATTGACAAGAATATTGAAATTGAAGGAGTGGAAATCACACGACATTAAGGGAACTTTTCAAAACATTGAAATGCTTAACCATCTGGCAGACGACCTAGACAGACCAATTTTTTAAAAGAAATGGAGCAGGTCTTATGACAAGTTAAAAAATGGCTAGACTCCAAACACCTCAATTAAAGCGCGTTCGCTTGGTGCGTCACAGCACTTCTTAAATATTACATCAAAACTTACAGGGGCGAGGTCGCTTGCCTGAAGGTCAAATTAATGAGTGCCACGGGAGCACCCCTTTGCAATGGTTGGTTGTAATTACACAGTCCTACTTACATGCGGTTAGAAAGAAGATCGCAGTGTCCTCCCACTACCAGCGAATTAAAATTTGCTCACACGTTTCTTTCAGTCAATAACGCTGCATGTTTCTGTGTATCTTGCATGTATCTGTGTTTCCACTTTATGCATTTACGCTTGGGAACGGAATGTGTTAAGTGGAGTTCGAAAACCTGATAAGGAGAGATCGACTCCTGGACGTTCAAATTAGTGGAAGCGGCTAAAAACTCTTGTGCCAGTTTATCGAATTGGATAACACATATTTTAGGCCCTTAACTGATCATGCTGCTTATTGAATATTTCACCTTAAACCGGCGTTAATAGATATTTTATTTTCCTTTCAACACCTGTTCTATAAGGCGCAGGTAAAGTACCTTTTGGACAAACCGACACAAAAGGAACGCTTGCTAACGATCCCTTTTTCGATGCCCTGGGGAAAATTCCTGCACGAAAAGGGCAAAAGAATGTTGAATGTGCTGAATCATACGAGTCATGATTGCACATTATGTAGCAAATTATGCGCAACAGAGCTTCCTTTCTTAAATGTGCATTTCCATACACCATTACCTCATAGTTACCTGATATTGGGAGCCTACAAAATTCAGATTCGATAAATGGACGTCAAATTCCAAAAAGCTTCAATGATTTTGGCATCCTTCGGAATCAACTATTATCTTTCGTAACGGTTTAAGAATGTCCCTCCCAGGCAGAGCAGCGCGTTGCATCTTACTCAAAAAACAACCACGCCTTAGCAGACAACTGCAATGCATATGCTCGCGGCATGGCTAATGGTTCTAGTTATCAACATTATCCTGCTTACTTGTTTGCACCTTCAAAGCTCAAAATCTGATGGTATCTACCCAGTGCGTGCCGACAGCACGTCATTACCTGTTGGCAAAGTGATATAAAACATTGCCTCGAAGGCGTCTTCTTTGGCATTGAAGACGGTGACGTCGAGGGTTAGCCGCTCACGTGATCCGAGCAAGTACGTGGCATGGCTCCTGAAAACAGACAATAAAACCGCTCAGCCTATACTCTGCTGACGCCTGCAGGCATACCATGCTTACGCGCGCTCAAAAGCGCACGCGGGCCGCACGAACACAAGCACCAGCCGTGCATCCTCGGAGCAGCATCACCCCTCCAGCCCTGCCGCGCACTCACAGCCTCGCCGCCAGCTGTAGATCGGGCACACATCCTCCGAGCAGCATCACCCCTCCAGCCCTGGCCGCACACTCACAGCCTCGCCGCCAGCTGTAGGTCGGGCACGCATCCTCCGAGCAGCATCACCCCTCCAGCCCTGCCGCACACTCACAGCCTGCCCGCTGCAGCGGCACCATCCTCCGAGCACCCCTCCACCCCGCATCACAGCCCCCGTCCAGGCGGTCGGGCACGCAGCCCCGACAGCAACCCACCCTCCACCCTGCGCACACTCACCCATGCCCCAGCTGCAGGTCGGGCACGCAGACGCCGAGCAGCATCACCCCTCCAGCCCTGTCGCACACTCACAGCCTCGCCGCCAGCTGCAGGTCGGGCACGCAGACGCCAAGCAGCATCACCCCTCCAGCCCTGCCGCACACTCACAGCCTCGCCGCCAGCTGCAGGTCGGGCACGCAGACGCCGAGCAGCATCAACCCTCCAGCCCCGCCGTACACTCACAGCCTCGCCGCCAGCTGCAGGTCGGGCACGCAGACGCCGTCGCCGCCGCAGTTCTTGCGGATGGAGATGGCGTCGCTGGCCACCGGCGGCCGGTCCAGGTTCAACACCGGCTGCAGAAGGCCGCGCTGTCGGTCGGGCTTGCGGTACACCAGGCTGTAGTGCACCTCCGTCACCAGCGGCGTCAGCTTGTCCCGAATCGTCGGCTGAGGGGGAGGGGCAGCGTGTCACGCGGATCGTCGCCTATCGCTCACCAAGGCGCGGTGGATCCCCCCGCCATCCTGGATCTCTGAGGCACCACCCGAACCGTCCGTTGTAGCACAAAGGAAGGTTCAGCTAGCTTAGCTTACAACTTCCCTATCCGCCTCAAAAGGTTCGAATACCTGTCATGCCAGAAAAGTAGCCTACAACCTCGTTTCAAAGCTGTGCTGGGCAGAAATGTAGAAAACGACGCTGCGTAACGCATTCCTTCGCTCTGTGTGTAAGGTCTATTCCTCCAGACTAAGAAGTGTGTGAATGTCACATACCAAACACGTAAAGAGCTCTCAAGCATGTTTTATCGCAAACCAAAGCGATAAGGTGGGTCTGGGGTGCGGTAAAACGTAAGCTGCGTATACAAATACGTTTATACGTGACGTATACGTGACGCATTAAAACATTAATGTTGGCAAACGCACGCAAAACGTACCTTATTGCAAAATCGTTTCGGCAATGAGTTTTGTGCAACTCTCCCGCCATGAGGATTCGAACCAGCCAGCCAGCAAACTAGCGCACAAGCAGCCCACGAGTGGACCCACTCCAGCTCACCCTGGTGTAAAGATCAGTTCAGGGCAAGCCACGTCGGGATAGGCTTCAAACCGCTTACATGTGCGTGTAAAGTACAGCACTACGGAGCACCCGCATCCTTGTATTTAAATAATATCTTACGGGTAGTACTTTCAACGTTAAGCTCATGTGGGCTCATAGACTGACCCAAGATGAACTCCGACTACTTCATTGACGTGAATGTTGTCATGCTTTGATTCCTATCAGTGACGTGGCTGCGTGCATATATGAAACTATGCAGACACGGCAAAACGTGGTTGGAGCCCGTTCGACCCGACCTGGCAGCCGACCGGAAGAGATACTCCAGCATGATCTGCGTGCAAGATGTGCATTACGTGGTAGCACCGTACACCACCACGGCAGCTTTTGCAACTCGCTATGAGGAGACTACGAGAGGGTCGGCAGCATTACTAGAGAAGTACTGATCGGCCACGGATACAGTAACCTCTATGAATAGTATGTTCGGGATCTTCGAGATGTCCGACTCACTGCATGCATAGGTGCAGATGCCGCACACAACTATTAATCTACACCATGCCACTGTTGGGAAAGTTTTCCGTGATTGCACAACACTTAGTCGTGACAGTTATCCATGACTGGACAACATCTCATCATGCCAGTTATCCGTAACGCATGTTTTCGTACACATTCGATTCTTCGCATCACATCTTCATACGCAAAGATCATTCGGCACGTCCAGTAGGCAGTTTCTCGTGCACATATATCTATATCCGCGAATATTCATATCCGCAAACTTTACGTCCGCGAATCTTCCATCCACAGATTTCCTTCTACACACTTGCTCGCATCGTATTTCTTCGTAAACACACTTCGCAATTGCATGTCCTCAAAACGCACTTCGCAATCGCATGTCTTCAAAACGCAATTATTCGTATGTAATTTCGTCGTACACATTTCTTCTTAAACACTCCGTTGCATCGGACCTTTGTGCATGCAATTCCTAGTGTGAAAGAATGTTGCGGGTTTTTTTTTGTTTCTCGGCGTAATTTTCTTCGAATGCTCGCTGTTTGTAGTCATCTTCACCCTTCCAGGTGTCCCTTTGCTACTCCATCGCGCTGATCATGATTCCGAGCCTGGATATCAAGTTCTGTCTCCTTATGACAGTTCTGTCGTAGCGCTATGCGGCATGTAAAATCTTCTGCAGTCATATATGGCCACAGGGTAGACACTCCTATCCGATGAATTGGATCCGCTCACCGTCATGGGCGGTGTTTTCAGGGCGCAGGCAAGCAGCTGCTAACAGGCGGTCTGGGCCGAAAACCGCCAATGAAAACTATTTGAATGAGATTTCTGAACAAAACCTGCCCCTGTGGGGCTGGTGAATGGTGTGAGGGAAAACTGCTGAACATGTAGGGGAGGAACAATGTGTCACGAACACATGAATTCACATCCCAGACGCCTGCGCACCCTAAACTCCGGCGGATAAGTCTATAACTAGGTTAGAGACGGACAGCTCCTAATTCCAGCAGGCGGCCATAAAAGGGCTTCGTCCATTCTTCTGGATCGAGGCCTGAGCCATAGGCTTGCCTGTCCTAAATTGGGATGTTTCTATGAATGTTGTCTGATTTCTGCAAATGCCTGGACCTTCTGTTGTCAAAGCATTCTTGATCTTTTGATTCTTGATCTCCTTTCTTTCTCTTTTGATTCTCACCTTTTGATTCTTGATCTCCAGAAGCGTTACGCAGCGCATGGCATGAAACATCATTCCTCTTCACACTTCACGCAGGACTGGCTTCCTCGGAGCTTGGGGAGGAGTGATACCCCTAACCCCCCCCCTCCCCAATCACTCAGTTCCTGCGTCGGGAATTGTAAAATGGCAAGGACGGTCAACAAAGCTAGGTTGTGCACACATGGAGACAGTTCATGCACATTTGTTATACTTGCTTTGCGTGACATGTTAGTGAACTAACATCTACATGTTTCAACACCAAACATGAAATCACACACACAGTGTTTGGCCGCCATGCATGACGAAGACGTAACAATGACAGTGACATGGTGGTATCAGCTTAGCATGTAGGGCGTCTGTCTAGGCGCATATTCCACGCTGGGGAATATTTCAGCGCGTCATTCTTCTTTTTTGCCGTCACTTTCAACATACAGTGAATATATATATATATATATATATATATATATATATATATATATATATATATATATCTATATCTATATCTATATCTATATCTATATCTATATCTATATCTATATATCTATATATATATATTTGGATAAGTCGGCAAATATAAATTCGTTTAACGTGCGGTGGTAGGGTGTGTGTACAACAGCAAGGTGTGCGTATGCAAGGACAAGCCAGCAGATACCAATGTCCTTGGCTTGCAATGGTAAGATGTGTGTACGATAGTAAGGTGTGCGCATGCAAGGACATCCCGGCACATACAAGTGTCCTTGACATGCAATAGCAATATGTGCGTACAAACTTCAAAACGTACTCAAGCCTGCGTGCCTCCAAATCAGTGCCATCTGTCGCGCACACGAACAATTCGACGAAAAATGCGAATGCGACGAAACGAGGTACTGATATCAGAGGAATCCGATTGGGGGTGAGTCACGTAACGTATCAGTTACTGCGCCAGTCGCGTGTGCTTCCCGAACTCGCGGGGATTCGCTTGTGCCTTGCGGCACAACATGCGTGCACTTCTGTGAGTTTGAGGACCGCACACACCTTATCTGCCGCTTCAAATGTGTGTAATTACACCTTTAATTTTTGGTATTTACGAACAGCTGGGTATGCGAAAACATGCCATGACAATAATGTGATACCGCGTGGAAAGCGGAGCGAAAACAAATGTGACTAGAAGAAATGCCAATGGGAACAAATGCGGTGCGAGAAAACGCGTTTGAGAATAAACGTGAAATGTACAATGGAGTACTGCGAAGTTTCGCTTCACGAAGACTTGCGTGCACGAAGTTTTGCACCGACGAAGATCTGCACGCGAGGTAAGTGCATGACAAAACACAACACAACCAAATCCAATACGCAGTTCAAAGCTGGAACCACATTTGTTATATATCATGCGATTGCTTCCCAAAGCAAAGGCTTCATAAGAGTTTCTCACGAGAAATATGTAGGAAACAATAAAGTATGTGGCGATTACGCAGTGGGGAAAACTGGCCGATCTTGCCATTTATTGAATGTGTGGCAACGAGGCAACTGAAAAAACACACTCAGGCGAAGCAGCATCACTATTTTGATGAGTCAAGGAATGCGCGTGTGATTTGTCACTGTCGCCAGGAGGGCAGAATCGTCGCATAGGAGTATTGCCGCTGAGGAGAGAGTCGGCACTTCAACAGTCCCATCTTGCTTACACAAGCTTTTTGCTTTGTCTAGGATAAACAGTGTAATCATGTTGCGTCAGACCACATGCAGTCTCCAGTTCCACGGATCTGTCTCCGCCAAGCGTCCTTTTCCTTCCATAAATCACATCTCTCCTCCAGGCCAGATGCCCCCTTCCCCAATGGAGGAGATCGTCCACAGACGCCGGCAGTCCGTGCCGTCGGCGACATCCGCCCGCCCGCCCCACATAGACGTAGCGTTCGTGGCACCACTGGCGACCGCGGTCAGCTCACCTCCACGTAGACGTACCGCTCGTGGCACTGCTGGTGACCGCGGTCGACTCACCTCCACGTAGACGTAGCGCTCGTAGCACCACTGGCGACCGCGGTCGGCTCGCGCCGTCACGTTCAGGCGGGACAGGCTGACGGCGTCCCGGAAGAACATGCGCGGCGTCTTGGGGCGACGTGCATCCAGGCGGAACTGCACTTCGAACTCTGCCGGGAGGATAGAGGTCACACATGCGCTGAGAGCCGGCCGGCCCCAAAGGAGGTACGGACGCAAGAGATGCGCTTTAACTGTGTGCCTGCATTTTGACGGGGTTCCCATCCACGACATTGCGGCCTGAGACAACGCGCAAAACATGGCAATGTTTCAGTCGTTTGACATTTGTTGGCATCGAAAAGCCGCTTTAGGCATCGTGGACTTCTTTTCCTTCCAGTCAAAAAACGGCAGACTAAAGTTATCGGCCAGCGATGTGCATTTCAAAAGCTGAATATTAAGCACAAACGACGCGAGGCCTGCACAGATGCCGGCCCACTGGCCGTGTCTTACCTGCCCGTTTGTCTGTGCCCACGCCGTCATACGACATACAGAAGAGGACGGACACGCAGGGCACCTCCCGGCCGTCGTCGAGCCTGCACTGAGAGGCCTCATCATCCAGGTCCATCATCTTGTCCGCCTGGTACCGTGCGGTCGACTCCACGTGCACGACCGGGCGGGACCTGGGTCGCGGAGGTTACACGCTTACCGACGCGACCACGCTTACCGACGCGACCACGCTTACCGACGCGACCACGCTTACCGACGCGACCACGCTTACCGACGCGACACAAGGGGTCACGGCCAAACACGGATGTCAGGCGGTCGCGATCGCATCGGCTGCGCATGGAAATATGCGCACGGGAGAGACAACAGGGAATCATAACCACTTGCTGATGCTTTCCTGTGATGCTGGGCGGCATCGGAACGTCGGAAAACCACGACTCCCCAACGTTCCTCTCATCGTGCGATCATCAGTTTGCAGCACAGAACCGTGGCCTCGAAACAAAATTACGATGAGTGGGTGATCGGTACCAGGACTATGACAGCCGAGATTTATGTAGCAAAGACGAGTTCACAGAAGACAGGAAGTTTGTGCCGTAATTTGTCTTATGAAGACCAATGGCAATGCAGCAAACAGCCTAAGCACGTTCCTACAACGGCAAGAAGTCTCATATCCATATGTAGGCTACTGTTGCGCAAAGCTTCTGCCAGCGCCGCCGTAAAGGTCACGGTACTGACCTGAAATAGAGGGCAGCACTGGAGTCGTAGGCGCCGACCACCAGATCCGGGTACTGATTGCCGTCCAGGTCCCGTCCTCCGTGCAGTGAGTAGCCGAAGGAGTGCAGGTGAGGCTCCAGCCCGGACGCCCGGATCACCTGGGTCAAGCAGGCACGGCTTCACCACCAATCCCATCTAGCAGGTGGACGAGGGAGACGCAGCTGCACGAGTACGCTGGCCTGACCCGTCTCAGCCCACTGGCGAGATAGGCTGGACCGGCTGAACCTGCTCCTGGTGCAGAGGTGAGATATGACGAAGGGACGCGACACCGAAGACCGCCATCTAGCATTGGTAACATCACAAAGCTTTGATACTGCATGTTAGATTAGGTCGGCATCGCTGATAAACTACGCACAGCAGAAGGCTTACAACCAGCAAGATCAGCAGCAACGTAGCGCTGTCAAATTTAACCGCATCACTACACTACACCGCAAGTATGACGCCCGGAGAAAAAGAATGGTGCGGCGTTCGCCGGTATGCACGAGCCGTTCGCTTTCGTCACCCCGTGCGCGGGCCGAGTACCCGTATCAGTTAGCGGGCCCGGACCCGGCCGGCTGGCCGTGACCGCGGGAACTGACCTGGGTCGGCGTCCGGCCGATGCCACGCCTCGTCCCGTGGAAGATGTACACAGCGCCCTGGTCTCCCGAGCCGTCGTGGGGCGCGCCCACTGCAATGTCTGCAGCCGAAGGACACAGACACGCTGTCCAGAACGGCGAGACAATGGCAGCCCTGCTCGGCGCGGAGTGAGGCCATTTACGCCGGTCCTGGTGCATAGGCGGGCGGCCGGTGAGACGCGTAGAATGAGTTCGGCCCCCAGCCGGGCTTAACTCAGCAGCCCGGGACTCATCCGGCCGGGCTTAACTCAGCAGCCTGGGACCCGCACAGCCGGGCTTAACTCAGCAGCCTGGGACCCACCCAGCCGGGCTTAACTCAGCAACCTGGGACCCACCCAGCCGGGCTTAACTCGGCAGCCTGGGACCCGCCAAGCCGCGTAGCGTGCAACAGGCTCCGAACGTAAACACAGGGTCAGCACGGCGCCCGTCACGCGGCCATCAACAGAAGGGTGAGGTGCCGTACCGTCGTATCCGTCCAGGTCGATGTCCGCCAGTGAGGTCACGGCCAGGCCGAACCGAGACCTGGACTCGTTGCCGTTCAGATATTCCATTCTCTTGAAACGGTGCTGTAGGTGCAAATTGACCTTTAAAATCACAGTAGTACAAGAGTAGCACGTGCTACTGAGCCTACGCACATGTGTATAGAGCTCACGTGTTTCAATAGACATGTGCCCTACATGTGCAGGGCACACGTGTATTGCGCGTGTTCAGTGTCCTTGCTAGGACAGGTCCCTGCTAAGACCGCGAACCATGTCAGACATTCCCTGTTCTCATAACAACGATCAGATAACATTTGGTTTCACCGCATCATCATAGGTCAGCCCACGAAAATTGATGTAGCCTGTCAACCATTGTTAAATCAGCCACGATGGTGCATAACAAGAGCTGCAAATCACACACACACGCACCGGCGTGAGCCCAAAGCGACTCCGTGACAAGCGGCAGAGGCCGCCACGTGCTTGGTCTCACGTTACTGACTAGCTGCACAGTGCACGTGCCTTCATTAGAGGGTAGAACCCGGGCTCCCATAATGCATGTCATCGCGACACAAAAACGCTTTCACGGCCGCTTTCAACCGTGCTATAGTTTGGGGGTGCAAATGACGATGATTAAAGAATGTTTACATGACACTGCATTTGACGTGTAAGGCTCCGTTCAGGTCTTAATCATTGGGATTAGGCCAGGTGCCGAAACCGGACCTCATTCAATATTCAGCTGCCATCGCTAGCTCCACTATGCAGTTAATATGGATGCATTAGCATATTTGATGACGGTGCTTTCTTACTGCCTGTCGTGGATGAGCAGTCCCGGTAACAGAGTGTGAAAGCTATTTATTCCGGACATCCTCCGGTAATTTTGCAGAATGTTTTTTCACACGCATGATGTATCTGGAAGTAAATTCAATTACATTTCGCCAGAGCCTTGACTTCTGTTACCACTGACGATGTCAAAACATGTTACTCACGCGGTGTGTTTGCCTAAAAGGTCACAGAGTCTGCATTCAAGATCCTTCCAGGAAAATGCAAAGATTATGTCCGTCAGTGACGCGTGAACAGAGGTCGGGAGTACAAGATGTCCTCCAGAGGTTCGAATGTGGGACCTATATTTGGCTGCCGCATTCTTTTAAAAGGTCCGGAAGATGCCCGGTTTAAACCGAGAGTAAGAGGGAAAAGATGGCTGGATGCTCCAAAGAGGTCAGGAGGACCCAAAAAATAGTTTGTGTACCTTTGGGAAGCACACAGGCTGTCGAGAAGCTCTGAGACTGCCAGGTACCGAAGGGTGGTCAAGCTCTGAGGCTGCCAGGTACCGAAGGGTGGTGAAGCTCTAAGGCTGCCAGGCACCGAAGGGTGCTCAAGCTCTAAGGCTGCCAGGTACCGAAGGGTGGTGAAGCTCTGAGGCTGCCAGGTACCGAAGGGTGGTCAAGCCCTGAGGCTGCCAGGTACCGAAGGGTGGTGAAGCTCTGAGGCTGCCAGGTACCGAAGGGTGGTGAAGCTCTGAGGCTGCCAGGTACCGAAGGGTGGTCAAGCTCTGAGGCTGCCAGGTACCGAAGGGTGGTGAAGCTCTGAGGCTGCCAGGTACCGAAGGGTGGTCAAGCTCTGAGGCTGCCAGGTACCGAAGGGTGGTGAAGCTCTGAGGCTGCCAGGTACCGAAGGGTGGTCAAGCCCTGAGGCTGCCAGGTACCGAAGGGTGGTGAAGCTCTGAGGCTGCCAGATACCGAAGGGTGGTCAA